GTCTCATGGCTATGACTGCAAAGCATCTATTATTTGCGTGGCTATGTAATTTAATATTATTACTACAGCTGCAGAGAGCATATGATTGCATATTTTAGATAAGCAGTAATGATCAACTGTGTAGTCGTTTATTTTTCATAAAAAATAGAAGATAATCTTTTATAAATTTAATATCTCACAATAATTTTCTCGATTACTTATCTAGCTTCCATCATGTCATCTAAGAGGAAGCTCTAACCACCATATAGTTTTATGACTTGGATTAGTCGTCTATATTCTCTTCTTCAAGAATTGTTGATTTGGTTAGGCCTATAAATTTTTCCTTATTAGTACATTCTATAAAACATTGTCTAAAATGGTAATAGAGAGTTATATTAGTTTCATGACCTTTTGCCAATGTAAGTTGTTAGTTGAGCTCACTGAGATTGTGAAGACTAGCGACGCCTCTGCATTAGAATCATTGTTAAACTCAAATATGGAAACGTTGCATCATGAAAAAAATAGCTAAAGGATTAGTGTAGAAGTTAAAGAAACCCATAATTTTGAAAATATCCTTAAAATTATGTAGAAAAATATCATCATGCATTTAAAATAATGCCTGGGAGTATCAACGGCTTTGTGTGCTCATTCTTTACACTAAAGAGATATCTATCGAGCACTAGAGAGTAGAGAGTCAAAGAAATGTCAACGTAAGTAAAATTTACTATTGATGGCTTATGAAAAAAATAACACAAAATTTATTTATGTAAAAATTTTTAAATATCGTCGTATTATATTATAATATTATTTTTATTCATATAGTATTATTTTGTATTCATATTACATTAAAATATTTTTAATAAAAATAAATTTTTTTTATTAATGCTTATTATTTGTTTTATTTAAAAAATATTATCCCCCCCCCTCCCCAGGTAAATAACTGGCTCCTTAGCGGAAAATTTCTGCTACAGATCTGTAATACAAAATAAGTATGTATTTTCCATATTTTTTACGAAAAACTTCTTTTTTTTAAAAAAAACGCATTGTTATATTTTTGACATTACTTCATCTCTAGTAATAATTCATTCATTCATTCATTACCACGCCAGAAATTGCACGAAGTGCAATTTCATCACCCACCAGGAGTTGTAGCGTGCACCATGTATATTCACTAGTATATAGATCCTATACATGATGTATACCCGTTTTATTATAGTGGACGGTACCACTATGTAGTCAGCTAGCATAGTAAAGAAGAGAGGAGTAAGAAAGAGGGGATCTATTAGTTCCGTTACCGGCAAAATAGTGTTAAGAATTGTAGCTAATATTAATAATAATAATGTACCTGACACCTGGTTAGATTTAAGAGATGGGGAAAAAAAAATTTCTTAATGTTTGGTAAGTATATCCTTGGAAGATAACGCAATGTCTATAGAATCCATGTTATTCACTATTATCATTATTATATTGAGCCTGGAGATCGTTATCATTATCAATATTCACGGTTTTAAGATTATCATTGACTTCGTCAAAAATCATAATTCCTATTGCGCCAGAACATAAGTTGTCATTAGACTGGGGATAAGAGATTGGAAATAAGGCAGTGTGAGGAATAGTCTGATAAGTCCACGATTCCTGCTCTAGTTTAAACCATATTTAACCATGTATTGCAGATGTTCCTTTAAATGTTTCTTTTTTTTGCTGAGTGCAAGAAAATCTATAAACGTAAGATTGATCAAGTCTATGTCCTTCAGACATTTTGCCAGCCAATAGTATTTGGGGATTCTTCGCCTTCCATAATCCGGGGTCCACTCCATGGACGAAAATATCATATTATCTCGTGAATGTCTTAAGCAGTGGCCGAGTAATTCTAATCTCCTCAAGGGAATGAGTCTCTTGATAGGTAGGATGTCGCACCTGTTCCAGAGAGTTGTGTTTGGGGTGTTGTATGGATAGTAAGTTTTAGTGATTCTTCTTAAGCACTTGTTTATGAAGGTCTGGGATGTATTGATGTTGCTTTTAGTGTCCTGCCATGTTTCCAGCCCGTATGTTAAGATGGGTAGAATTAGGGATTTAAAGAGTCTTATTTTTAGGTTCGTAGATATCTGGTTGGACGACCATAGTTTAGTTAGCTGATGATATCGGGATCTGGCCTTGTTGGTCCTCGACTTAGTATCCAAAATGGTGGTGCCTAATGACATTATTCTGGTTCCTAGGTACTTAAAATCCGAGACCGTATCTACCACATTATCCTCAAAGTTAAAGGGGTCGCTGTTATATAGAGGGATATTGGATACAATTAACTTTGTCTTTGAGTAGTTGACTTTCAGTCCGTAACCAAAGCAATTTTTGACAAACAATGACAGCAAGTTTCTTAATTTGTACTCAGAGTTAGCTAATATGCATACATCATCGGCATAGCATAGAAAATTTAGAGAGTTGTGTATGTTATTATCATATTGTTGATTCAGATATCGAGGGTTAAGAGCATATTCTTGTTTAAAGGATTTATTCAGAATATCGTTCATTATTACATTAAATAGCATAGGTGATAAAATGCATCCTTGTTTCAGCCCTCTGTTGGCCTTAAATGGTTGTGATTTTAAGTTCAGATGTAGTGGTATCACGTTATGATTATCGTATATTATTTTTATAAGCGAAATCAGATGTTTATCTATTCCTATGTCCTCCAGTAAGGGCCAGATCTTATGCTGTATGATGGAGTCAAAGGCTTGACTTAGATCAATCATTAGGGCAAATATTGGGGACTTATGCATTCTAGCTTTCTCCAGAATAACCTTAAGCGCCATGGTTAGTTCCGTCGTGTTCCTGCCCTTCCTATATGATGTGATGGCGTTTGAGAGGTTTCCATCGATGATTGGTTTAATCCTGACGGCTATAATATACGTGAACATTTTTAGGGTAACTGGGATCAGTGCAATTCCTCTGTAGTCCTTCAGGCTAGTCGGGTTCTTATTTTTAGGGAAATTAAGTATTATCGATGTCATCCATTCCTCTGGGAAATTGCCAGTATTCCATATCTCATTAAAGAGGGGAAGCAGTAGACTAGCACTTAAATCAGCATCTATCTTCCAAAGTTCCGCAAAAATCCCATCGATTCCGGCTGCTTTATGGGTTTTTAGTCTTTTAATGGCATTGATTATATCTATTCTGTTCAGGTTCCGATTAGGTGGTTGGAAAGGATAGTCACATAATGGTTTAGGCCACCTTGTTCTGTAAAGGTTCATGTAATGGTCTGTCCATATCGCTAATTGTTCCCTGGGGTCCGTTATAATTTTATTATTTTCAATGTGTAATCTTGGTAGAGGATTGGATTTAAAGGTAGTGAGTAACTTAAGAGATTGGAAAGCCTTGTAAATATTATTGTTGTCAAAGCTATATTGTATGGATCTAGATAAGTTGGCAATAAAATATCTTTTATCTGTTCTTATGCAGTGAGTTATGTACCTTCTGTGGTGTTTAGTATATTGGTTATAGGAGATATTTGTTGTTAAGTTTTTAATTATCTGTATTGTTGAAGGGGATAGCCATTCTTTACGCTTAATTCGTGGTCTTAAGCATGAATTCATACAGCTTGATAAACTCAGTTTCATATCCTTCCAAGTTATATTAGGATTGATCATGCCATTTTGGGTGTTTCTCCATGTTGTTAGATTGGTGATGAACTCTTCCTTTATAACCGGATCATTCAGCTGTGCCAAGTCTTTCCTCATTATGAAGTGTGTAGAGTTAAGATGGCTATGTTGATTTCGGTTTGGAAAAATGGTATTTTTTATCCTTAGCTCGCATCCTAGTGGGTAATGGTCCGTAAATAAGGTGAAGTTCAGTTTGCTGATGACTTTGATGTCCTTCACCCACTTAAATATATTGTTGGAAATTACAAAGAAATCAATTTGTGAGGTAGTGCCAAAAGATGGGCTTTTGTAGGTCATGGTGTGATGGTTAGGATGATTGAAGAAGGTATTTCCTATTTTCAAATTGAAGTGTTCACAGATTTCTATTAGTTTTTTGCCATTAGTGTTCGTACTTTGTACTAGAGTGGCGTTCCCGAGGCAGGTAGAATTGTTAGGCTTCCCAACCGAGGCATTGAAATCGCCAGCTAATATGATACTATCTCGATGAGGTAGTTCTTTTAAGATATTTTCCAGCTCTATGTAAAAAACTTTATTATTATGTGGTGAATAAATATTGAAAAGGTGAATTTTCTTGTAACCAATATTTAAGGTAAGACAGCAAATGCGACTGGAAATTGGATTAAAGCTTACATATTTAATTAGTTTGTTATGGATTAAGATTGCTACACCTGCCCAAACATGTTCAGCATTCGAGCTGCAGTATAAGGTGTATTCTAAGAGATTTCTTACTTCCGTTTCTTTCAAGTGAGTTTCTTGTAGAAGGAGGATGTCGTATCGTTGATCGTTTATAGTTTGCCTAAGAATTGTGAGTTTGTCACTTAGCGATCTTATATTTAAGGAAATCATCCTAATACTATGGTCTTTCATTGTATATAAAAAAATATTTCTATGATTATCGTGCGATTCTATATCTTACAGAGAATCCGCCTTGTAAGAATAGCAATCACACACGATGATAAATAGAATATATATAAGAACTGTTTCAAAACTATTTCACAAAGATACAATTAATATATATATATAAATGGTATCTAAATTAAATGATTATAGTAATTATATGATTATAGTAAATGATAATAGATTAAATGAGTATTTGAGTAAGTTTCATATAGTAGTTTAGTATAGGATAAAAGGTTTTAGACAATTTGTCTTCTACATGAAACAATTTTGATATCATAAAATATTCTTATTTTGGCATCCCTAACCTTTACAATCGAACTCAAAAATTTTTTATTACTTAAAAATGACTTTTTGGGGCATAGAAAATTTATCAAAATTTACAGCGGGCTCTTTAAATTTTTAGTTGGCTCAAGCCCATGCCCTTCCCTCCCAAGCCGTTTACAACCTTTTTTCTGTTGATAATTTGAAAACTTATTATGCCAATTATAAATAAGACATGAATTTATGAGCATCATATACTTTAACTAGTCGGCTATGGAATCAAATTCTGAAAATATATCAAAAGATCTTATAAAAGTAAAGTTATAATAGATTGTATGTCCACATGATTCATTTTAAAGACAATTTTTGAAGGAACGATAAATGCTACAAAATTAACCCATGTTTTGAATAAAGCATTGAATGACGATAACTTTTTATGCTTGGATGATACAACAATCACTGAAAAAAGTATAAATGAACAAGCTAATAAAATATGGAGCCTGTAGTAAATAAGAATATTAGCCTTATATTTATATTATTATAGGTTACGTTCATCATTATCATTATACAATCCTGAAATGTTAATAAAGAAAAAAGGGCACCTGGAAGAGAGAATGAAATCATTGGTGGAAATCAATGACACTATATTAGAAAATATTGTATGTAGTTAAACCTAAATATATATATGTGTAGTATTTATTTACATATACATTTTAAGCAAGTAGTCAATATAATTACAAAATTAAATAAAGACTATTGTATGTATTATTTAGTATAAGGATTTGGATATTTCCAAAGGAATAGACATGAACCCTAAAATAGAAATTAAGCCCCAAACAATGGAATCATCCAAAAAAGTATTTTGGAATCAGGTATATTTAAATTGAATTTTTTTAAGAATTTTTTTAAATAATATTTTAAAGGTATACCAAAAAAATACTACCCCACAAACAACAATTGTATCAATGACTTTGCAAGATGAGAAAAACTTAAACACAAAAACCCCAACACATTTTAAAACATATTCATTAATGGCATCCTCTAATATCACTAGACCTCAACTCAAATACAATATAAAAGTAGATAATTCAAAAGAACCTTTTTTCCCATCTAAATTAGTTTTCAAAGCTCACTCACTCAAAACTACCATCATTGAGTAATATTATTATATATGAGTCCAATTTTTATATAAGATTTTGGTTATTTATAAAGTTTCTGTTTATATATTAAGAGCAAAAGCTAATATATATATAGCTATTATTGTGATATCTTTAATAATATTAAATCCATATTATGAATAATAATAATAATTATAATATTTATAATCATATTTAATTATGGTATCAATTTCAAAATGAATTATATATTAAGAAATCAAAATATGACCATGGAATCAATAGAAAATATTGTTGTGGATTCTGCCCAATTAAATGAACATTCAGAAACCAAAGATTTTAACAAGTAAATTATTAACATGGAAATACATAAATATAGCAGTTTTCAATAACAATTAGGTCACTTACACATGAATTTAACAATAATATAAAATATTTTATAGGATCCCACACGTTAATCCTTATTTTGAGGAACTGGAAAACTTGCAACCTATGCCTTTGTTGTTTAAAGAATCTATAGATCCTAAAGTATAATAATAAAAAAAATGATACATCAAAATATATTAAAAATAATAAATTAATTCCTAATTATAAAATTAATCAAAGCTATAATTTTTCAAAATTTTACTATTTATAGGTAGTCCAATGTAAAAAAACTTAAAAATTTTTAAAATAATAGTAAGATTAAATAATTGGAATAATAAGATGAAGGCCAACATTAATATATTATAAAATTTTTAATGTAAATGAGGGCTGCGCTACTCTACTTTTAACTCTTATGTAGAGCTCTCCATTGGATTTTTTAGGTCTTATTTGATCTGAGTCTAATCCAAACTCTTATTTTAGAAATAGGTATGAGTTTGATCCAATTGAGGAAAAAATAGAATTGGAGGCAGAAAAATTATAAGTGATAAAAAAAAATTAAAAAAATAGGTTATTTTCCTTGAAAATAAAATGCATAAGCACCGGGAAAACAAAATAATTAAAATCTTGCTGAGATCTAAATCCTGTGGTTAAGCTGTAATTTTTGCTGGACATCTCTGGCTTAGATTGTTTAGCGCACTAGTACATACTATATTAAAAAATAATTTTAATTGTTTATGAATTAATACATTGAAAGAGATAAATATAATATATCTTACAACCTAGCAGTGATAACTTCAGCTTAGCTTTTAAAATTTCAATCAAAAAAAAATAATAAACTTATACGATGAGTTTTGATTTATCCTAAAAAGTCGTTAAATTTAAAAGTTTATGTCACCAGTTAAAATAATTTGAATTGGTAATTAAAATTTTTGTGGAGTTTTATTGATATTTTTTTACAATATCCCTAAAACAAACACTTGCCTGGCAAAATCAAAAATCCACCCTGAGCCTAGTGTTAATTGGTTGGTTGTATAAAACCCAGACCTGGGGTTTGGGTCTAAAAATCGACTAAACCAGCTCTTAGGAAGAACCCCGAGTCCAGACCTAGATAAACGAATACTAAGAAAAAATAAATCTCATTTACTAATCTTAAATCTTATTATACATTCTATAAATTAAAACTTTGTTTATTATTCTACATTAATCTCATTTTCTAACCATTTGATTATTTTTTTAAATTGAAGTGTTTGATTGGAGTCAATTTGACCTAACCATTTTTTCTCTTCTAGACTATCTTAAAATTCACATATATATACCCTCTTCAAAACTTTTGTGGGATTTATAGGATATCTAAACTTTACAAAATTTCTTAGTTATAATATCGACAATAATCTCTTGAACACATTATTTTTTAAACTTTGCCATAATTATCCTCAACAATAAGCATGCGTTTTTTAATATTTTTGAAGTTGTTTTTATTTACTTATTTATATAGAAAATTAAAAAAAAAATTTTAAATTAATTTAACTTTCACTATAATTTTAAAATTTTAAAAATGAATTATTAAAAATAAAATTTCCGTTTTTTTTAATATTTTTGAAGTTAAGTTTAATAATTATTATTTTTCAGTGTTGTGATGATTTAATGAAATGTGTTGACGATTAAATTAAAAATAAAACCCATTCAGATAAAAATATTTTGTTCACAAAAATAATTAAAATAAATTAACTTTTAAAAACTTGGAAGAAAATGTTGAGAAAAAAAACATTATAATTTTTTAAAAAAATTTAACCGAAATTAAAATTTATAATAAGTATTTTTTAATTTTACGACAATTTAATTTTAAACTTCTTCAATTAAACATATTTTTAGTCGGCATAAAAATCGGCTAGACCAGGTTTATTTTCCCGGAAACTGTCACTTACTCTAGCTTTTCGGTGTTATTCTTAAAAAGATAGAGGCTCAACTTTGGAAGAAATTAATATAAATTAAAACGCTTTAATGTTAACGGATTTTCTTCGACAAGCGCCGAAGATTGAGCCGAGTTACCCAATTATAGCAATTACACAAACTATATAAAAAGTGTAAATTGAAGATTTTATATATTTTGATTTCAGAATAGGCAGAGACGCTTGTTTATAACCCCCCCCCCCCCCCACATAAATAAAAAAAAGTATTCTAAATATCTCATTCAAGAGCAATCTTGCCGAATTTAGGAACTAATATTATCAAATGTACTTGTCTAAGATACATTTCTAAAATTAATAAAAAATTCAATACGTGTTTAAAAAATAGCGATGAAATTAAACAAATCCTACCAGAAAGTACCTATCTAATTCTGAAAGGATGGTATAGTTGGAAATAATCGTTCGGATAATCAACATAATAACCTATTTTTTTGGTATTTTTAAGCCCTAGTCCCGTTTAAATTTTTTTTAACTCTTAACTGAGTTGCTTGCAGGACTTTACTATATCTAACCCCAGAAAATGCCATTGCATTTTTCTGTTTCTATACTTTTGATAAATAATTTTTATTTGAACTATTTGGAATAACTATTCACCTAAACTCTGAGTCTAAACCAGGGTCTGGACCTCGGGTCTGAACCACGGGTTTGTACCCCGGTTCTGTGCTCCGGACTGAGCACCAAATTGGGTCGTAAATTTTACGACCAAGCGAATAAGCAACCATACCCAAGCCTATTCATGTTTGAATTTAACAATTTATTATATTCTTTAAATACGATTTTTTAATAAAAATTTAGTTTCCAGAATCATTAACTGATGTTCCACTCATTTTCGTTTCATCCATTCAACAATTGGAAGATTTGATCCAAGATCTGGCCAAGGAAGAAATTATAGCCATAGATTTGGAAGTGCGATATTATTATTCATTGTTATTTATGATATTTTAATAATTTTGGGATTAAAATTAGTTTAATGTCTTATTTAGTCTTCTTGTTTTTTAGTGAAATTTACTCAACAGTATTTATCGGCTTGATTAATATGATGATTTGCACATCTCCAATACAATTTTATTTTTAATGTTCGTTTTTTAAATTTAAAAATAAAATAAATTATAAAAGCATCATTCCTACAGGAGTTATTTGGGATTAGTTTGCTTGATGCAAATATCCACCAGGAAAAAGGATTATTTGGTTGACACATTTACCCTGTGGAACGATATGAATAGGCTCATCAAAATATTCGCCAACCCCAACATATTGAAAGTATCTAATCCTTATTTTTAATTCTCGATTTTTATATTAATATAGAGTGCTGACAAAATAATTTGTGAACTATGTAATGTATACCCCCTTAAATGCTCTAGTATTTATATATATATAATATCCTAATAACTAGTTTTTTTCTTATTTTATTAAAAAAAGGTTTTCCACGGTGCCCACAAGGACATTGAGTGGTTGCAACGCGATTTTTCTCTTTACGTCGTCAATCTATTTGACACATTTTACGCTAGCGAGGCCTTAAAGTTGCCCATAAAATCGCTAGCCTATCTCTTGATGTTATATTGTGGCGTCCAGGCTAACAAAGAGTTTCAGCTTGCCGATTGGAGAATCAGGTTTATATAAAATTACTTCAAATGCTTTGAGGGTGAGGAATGCTGGTGAGGAATAATAGAACACATCGTTTAAATATGAGAAAGGAAAGCAAAAAATTTTGAATTTGATGAAAAAAAACGTTCTTGATTGTAGGATTACTCAAGTGGACACATCACATTAACGATATTGCCTTATAGCTAAATTCACTTTTAGGCCTTTACTTGTTACAAACCTTAAAGATAACATGTAAATATATTTTTATATTATAACCCTTTCTAAGACCATTGCCAGAAAATTTGATAAATTACGCTCGTTCTGACACGCATTACCTCATATACATTTACGAACGGATGAAAAACGATATTTTGGAAAGGGACCAACTATCGGGCCACAAATATTCTTCTGACGAAGCCTTGGAGCAAAGCTTAATTTATTACGTGTTTAACAAGAGTCGCAGACTATGCCAGAAGGTATCATTTTTTTTAGTTATCATCACTTTCTATAAACTTGTTTTCTAATCGCCTTCTTTAGATCATTTGGAAATCCGTAACTATCCCATTTTGGAAAGTTGAGCTTGAAGTCAAACACACATTTTGTTTAACCCTGCATTTACAGTTAGCGCAAATTCATGGTGAAGTATACATAAATACACGAAAATACAGCATATTTTGTATATTTTGCCGCGAATTCTGGCCAACTATGAATGCAGGATAACCACTCATTCACAGTTAGCACAAATTCGCGCAGAGAATACAAGAATATAGCATTTTTTATAATTCACCTTGAATTCGCGCTAACTATGAATTAGGGGTAATTCAGAGGCCTGCAGATTTCAAAATTTTAGACCCAGCTTGGATTTTTATTTTTGATCATTTTATGGTCTTGTCTAAGCCCGGAATTTTAAAATTTTATTATTTTGAATTATTTTGCAAATTTTTTCAAAGGGAAAAATTGAAGATATTGCAGTAAATGAATATTAAATACTTCATTACATGATTTTTTAACTGATTGATAGTTATTATTTTTAAAAGACATTTAAATCAGTCATGATCCAAATTTTTAAATTTTTTACGCTCCATCCAAATTTTTAAATAATCATAACATTTTTTGGCCCAGGAGATCTCTGATTTAAATATAGGATCTTTGAATAGTTACATTTAAAGGGGCTGGCAATGGGATGCCCCTAAGAATGTTATTAATTTTAAAATTCGCACAAATTGATGCTAAAAGGAAATAGCATTAAATAATTTTTTCTTATAAAACTTCTAAAATAATATTTAAATTAAAAGGTATTTGTAGTAAAATTTCAAGTTCACGCCTTAAAAAAATATATATAGAATAGTTTGGACGTAATAATGGCAATAAAATAAAAATTTCGAGACTTTCATTCATATGTAATATCCTGAGTTCTGGCATGACATTTTTTGGTTTTTTTAAAACACGATATTTTCTAAAATTTGGCCAAAAAGTTTAACTTTAGGTTTGTTAATTGACCGAATTAGAGCCTGGAAGAAATGGAGTATTAAATAAATTTTAAAGGTTAAACCACAATAAAAATTGGACAAAAAATAGACACTATATCTATTTATAATAAATAGATATATTTCTTTAAATTATAAAAATTTACATAAATATAAAATCTATAATATTTTGGTAAATCAATATAATTATAAAATACTGTGTATATTTATTACAAAGGTGTATTGCAAACCTTATTACAGTCAAGAATTTTTCGAACAGTTGCTGAAACGTCAAAACAAGCGTTTTAACGTCCGTCAAATGTTTGTCCTCAAGCAACTCAACGAATGGAGAGACGGGATAGCTAGGAAAGAAGACGAAAGTCCTTTGTAAAATATCACACATAAAATAAAAAAATATAATATTTTTTGCTTCACCACTGACTATTTGAATCATCGGCTTTCCAAGATGGCTTATTAATATCTAAATTATTTTAACCTGCATGCCTCCCCTCATTGCTTGTATAACTATAAATAACACTCAAAATTTTTTAAAGTGCTCAGCTTTTTCAGCGATCTGGTTGAAATGCGTTTAATTTATATTTTAAAATTTGGATAAAATTAAATTCGCCCAATGGGAAAACGATGAGCCTCGTTTCTTTAGCCCATTTTTTTACAGTATCTGGCATATCGGACGGATACCATCCAATATTGAGACTAATGGCAAAAAGGTGGTATTTTTACTTTAAAGAGAAATAGGTTGAGAATTGATGCTTTATTCATTGGATTCCTATTATAAGGACACCTTCATTTTTGTTTGATGATGGCGGTGATATCATATAAGAAACTAGTATTACACAAGTACTCCCATATTTTGCCATCCTCACCTTCATCTACCCTAACCTATTACCTTCCATCTATCTAAATTTAAAATTACAATACCACTTTTCGTTCTTGGGGCGATATTTTCAGATTTACACACTATATGGCGTAACAGCATCTGTTTAAATTGAAGGCTTAATATTTATTTTATACCATTTATAGTTTTAATATGGAGATAGAATCCAAAACATCCTTTTTCTCATATATTGACTACAAGGTTCTCTCTCCACTTTTTTATAATTCTTTTTCTTTCCCGTTAAAAAAGGATTTGTCATTGTTTATGATATCTAAAATTAAAAAAAAATATATAATTAAATTATAGTATTCGCCAGAGAGCATAGAAAAACTGATCTGAGTCTGAACAAATAGCAATAATAAGGCAGTAAATTATTAAAATATATTATGGCCCATAGTCACTGCATTTTCCATTTTAAAAGTTTAAGATGGCACACATTTGGGCTATTTCATGCTTAAAAAAGATAATATTGCTCAAATTAAAATAATTATTAATTGAACTTATTGTTAACCAAAATTTAAATTTCAAATGCACTTTAGTGCCAAACTTGTCTTAAAAATTTTATTGCATAAAAAAATATATAATTCATTTTTCATATTATTTTTTATAGTTAAAAGCTAAAAGATCATAGTTAAATTTATACAAATGGTTTTTAGATAAAAATGATATAAATTCCTATAAAATATTATTAAATCTTTCTAATTTTTTTAAAAAATAATAATTTAAGTATTAATTTTTTAAAAAAAATTTTCTATAAAGATACTTTTAAATTAAGCTCAATGTTGTATTTCTTAAATGCATGTTAATGTTAATATACTTAACTTATATTTGTTTTTTTAAAAGAAACAAATTAATTTTTATTCAATTTATATAAACAATTACTAATTTTTATATTATTTTTATTTTGAACTTATTTTGATTCATTGTTAAAATCAGAGAACTGCAGAGGTACCAACCCCGGAATGGTTTTTTTTTAAAAAAAATTCTGCCCTTCCCGGGTTGAATATTTTCAGGCCCTGCCGGGATTTTTTAAAAATATTATCTACATTTTTTTAATTTTTTCTATGGTTAATAATGGCTATTTAATTTTTTTAGGCCCAGCTCGAGTATATTTAAAAAAATTAAAATACGGCCTGACCCATGTACCCGCGTCGGACATAGAGCCGGGCCTGCAGGTCTCTGGTTAAAATTAAATTGTTATTTTTTTTGCAAATTAAAGAGGTAGGGAAATAAAGAATTTTAACAAAAAATTAAACAACTATCGAATTTCAAAAATAAGAATCAATTTTTTATTTACCTCTGTATTATATCGTTGATTGTTACTGGACATCAATGACATAGAATTTAGATTGCCTAGATTGATGATCATTCAAATGTATATCAGTTTCAATATAAATCAGCTACGCTATTTTGGTTTCACGTATAAATAATTTGTATTGCACTTATTTTATGAAAAAAAGCAACGTATACGCTCATGGTTAAATTTATTAAACCCACCAATTGCAAATCTATAATGAGACAATGAATATTATCTGTTGTTTCAATAATTGAATTAAAAAGTTTAATTAATTCATGTAATATTTTGTTGATATTTATTAGTTACGTCTTATCCAACAATACGATGCTTTACATTGCCGAAGTTTTACCCAAGTATGCACTATAAATACAAATTGACATATTTTTTTTAAAATGAGATAATAATTTTTAACTTTTAACCCATTGGTATATTGGGAGAGTGAAGAATTTATATTATATTAAAACCATTAATTCTATATCTATCTTCACTTCTTTTCATTATGTAGGAATTATATGAACCTCTTGGGGTGTTGTAACCCCGTACCACCTTTACTAAAACAGAATATTCACCAAGTTCAATCCATCGTGCAGAACGCCCTCAAGCAAGATCTTTTAGAAGTAATTTCCCCTTCCAATATATAAATTTTTTTCTCCCAAATTTTTTTAGAGTAACTCTTATATTAGAGATCTGAAAAAGTATTCGGGCCGGGCCTATTTTTTTTAGAAAAATCGGGTTCGAGATTTGCCGTGCCTAATATTTTTAAAAATTGGGCCAGGTTGGGTCAGGCCTTAGAAATTTTTTAAAATATATCTAAATTTATCAATTTTATGTTGAATTTTTTATGCAAAATAAAAAGATTTTATTTATAGAAACTAGATGCCATAAAACATATATCTTTTATTTTGGGTAATTATAAAAATTAATTTCTATATTTAAATAAATTCGGGCCAGCCGGCAAAACTTTTTTAAAAAATATATCGGGCCAGGGCCTAAAAAAATAGGCCCGATGCAGATCACTATCTTATATTGAATATGAAAAAAACGAAGGAAGTAGGGTTGCCAAATTTTCTGATTATTTTGATTTTAAATCGCGATTTAAATTAAATATTTCAATCAAAGAAGTGCAGATTTAGATAGAAAAATATCATACATCATAGAAATTTTTTAACTTAATTTAATATTATCTATAAAAAGTTAATGTGACAGGAGACCCAGTTAGGAAATTGTTGGAAAAATATATGTTGATAAGTTGTGAGCTAATTCTATATTTTGTAAAATAAAAAGTCGACTGTCAAATTCGATGATGTATACATTAGAGGTCTGCAATGCCAGGGCTGGGTAATGTCTGGTAAATTTTATTTGGGTCGAAAAAATTATTGGAGTGGATTATTTTTGAATTCTGATAATTCATAGAAGTGTAGTGTTTTAACCACTCCCCGATATTATAAATAGTTGTTTTTGATGTTTAACTACATATATTTCAGGTTAGCTCTTGTTAAAAAACCGGGTTGGGCTACCTAGTAAAAAATTTTGGAAAAGGTAGGACCAGTTACAAATTTAGCCGGGCCTGAAAACTTAGACATTTGCCTCTAATTTGCACTGTTTAAAAAAATCTAACTAGTCCATATCAGTGAATCGGTCGGAAGAAAATCATTCATTATTTTCTAAAACGAATAATATTATTATGAATGCTCTTAAATAAAAATATCAAACCAAATTTAGAATTTTATTTTTTTTGACTAATAAATAATATGGTGATCTTATTTTTTTTGATTTTAGCTGCTGTTATTTCCCATTTGAGTGTCCAGATGCATTATCCCAATTTAAATTGCTAAGGTAATATTCGTTCAGTCGTTAACACCATAGATTTAAAATAATCTTGATAATAGTTTAACTAGAATTGTTTGGTATGTCCCAGAAATCAAACATTTTTAGAAGTTTCCCTCTCCCATTTTTTTTATTAAAGGTTAGTTTTTAAATTATATTATGAGAAATATGTTTTAATTAACCTTTTTTTCTGAGGACAAATCAATTGATAATATATTAAACAAATCAAATAAGCAATCTATTTTAAAATGTTTGGTTATTTGATAATATTATAATTAGTTTAGTATTTAATTATAATCAACATTATAATTGTTCTAGATTTTTTTATAGATATTATTGATTATTATTAAAAATCGAAAATGAAAATGTTTAGTTTTTTTATGGGATTAAAATTGAAAAAGAAATATATATTATTAATTTTTGTTAATAAAGTGAAAATCGTGGAATTACTTTTTGAAATAATCATTTTTTTTGGAAATCATAAAAAGAAATTTCACTGACACATTTTATCCTATCTTCTAACTTCGAAATAAATTTAACAAACAATGAGACTGAATTGGCAATGGAACGTGGCTAATTTTATATTTTAACACTAATCTCCTATCTATCATTGTAAAATATCAAGCTATATCTGACCGTTTAAAATTTTCTTTTCAGGTGAAATGATAAAGTTTAAAAAATTGAATGTTGGTTAGCAGGACCATGAATTATAGTAAAGCTTTCATCATTTAGAATGTATTCCAAACTTAGGAATTATTTAGGAAAACTAGTTTCCTTTTAAACAATTAGATTCAAATACCAATGCCGAGGATATGAATAATGCTTGTGATTGTTAATCTAATTATTATAATGATTTTTTAAAATCTAACAAACTAATTATTATTATTTTTTTGTTAGAGAAAAATAGACAGCACTACATTAACAACATAATAAAAAAAATTTAAATGTTAAGATTAATATTAGGTTTTATGATTTCGAATATTAAATAATTTCTCATTATATTGAGATTAGAATTATATATTTAACAATTATTTTATACATTATGTATAAAATTGAAACAATGATAAATAAAATAAATCATGTAATTAATTTTTTTATCTAATAAATAATGATTACTATTCCGATTTAATATTTCTCATATGGGAATTTTTTTAATTCTGGAATTATATAAGTTTTTTTTCTTTCATTATATTAAGTATTTTGATAAAATTTAGAAAATAGAATTTTATTAAAAATATTTATATTAGTGATCAGCATCGGCCTATAAAATGTAATGATATCTTATTTAATAATTCAAGCCAGACCCAGTCCGGCTCGAATTTTTAAAAAAATATTAGGCCTGACCTAACCCGAAATTATGGCCCGGCCATGATTTACAGATCTCTAATTTTAAAAAAAGTCTATTATTTTTATTGGCCAATCCTAGAAGGAAGATATAATAATACCAAATCGATAGCATTTTATTTTAAAAAATATTTCCTTAAATTAGTTGCAACAAGGCCTAACCCTTATCTCCGAGGGACAAAATATATCTTCAAACGCTCAAACCACTCCATACCATCAATCACCATATCAACCTCATGATATAAGAACCAGTATACAGTTTAATTTTTTTAAGGATTTTATTTTATAAATTACTCTTTTTTTACCCGAAAATTTATTAGCTAAGGTTAGATTCTTTTAACGGTCACATAATTTCTAAATATTTTTAATTTTATTTTATTCTTGAAGATATTTAAAAAATAATTTGTAAATTATTCCTGGTTTGAAAAAAAATTAATGGAAGTGACAAAGGAATTATGAAACAAAGAAAATAAAGAATGAAGGAAATAAACAGAAAAGGGGATGAAAATAAGAACGAACGTAGGAATTTTTAAGAAAATATAATGTTAGGTAAATTAAAACCCTAAAAATTTTGTTAAAGATCTCAATGAACAATTTACTCAAGAAGCAAACTTATCTTCTCGCGATTCTACCAATTTCGAAATTTGTGGCGACAATAGTCAAAATTCTAAATTTTACGATGCTTTATCCAGTCCACAGGTTAGCCCTAATTGACTTTGGCCAACTCTTTCAAAATAACTATTTTTTTCGGGCTTAAAAAGAAATTTGTCGTTTTATTTGAAATTCGTAAAATATAATTGATATGTTTCAGTCTCATTTTTTATAAAACAGCCAAAAATGTATAACACGAACCGAGGGCCAACCATTTCTGCCATCTTTTGGCGAGATTTCAAGGTAAAATTCTACTTAATGTCCTGGTCTTACGCTGTTTAAAATTTTTTCGGTATACCATGAGATTTCTTCATTATTGAACCATTTTCTAAATAATTTTTATGATCTATAGGTGATGGACATGTGTGATTTATCGCTGAATCACAAACACAACGATTTGCACCTTAATATGGCATCCTATCTGAAGACCCCTTTCGAAATAGTGATAAATTTTTTTTACCATTGTATAAATTTAATTTTCCTTATTTTATACTAAGAAATGAGAATAATTTTTTAATAATGTAAATTAACCACCCTCTCGGTTCTTATTTTTCCCACACCAATTCCACATTTTTATGTTTATTTTTTTTTATAATACGACCCCGATATTAACCGAATTGGTCCTGGTCTCCAGTTCTCATCAATTTGATAATTTAAATAGTAAGGTAACGAAATCAATAATTTTTATATTTTGGAATTAAATTTTTCCAAATATTTTTGCCAGAGGCTTACAGAGTCCGTATTTTCGGTATCGCCACACTAGTTCATTTTTTTTTTATTTCTTTAAAATTTCTGTTTCCAAAAGTTATTTTAAAAATAAATATTTTTTTTAATAATAACATTATAGAGGATTGATTTAAAATTATTCTTTAGGCTAAGGCTCGAGATTTCGTTTATAGATGTTCAAATCTTTCTGCTTTATATGAGCAAAATTTATTAATTTTTATTTCAATATTTTTAATGGCTGTTATCTGTTATCCAATGGCAAAAGTCTTAAAATTCCTAATGGGCTAAATATTTCTGTTTTATTTATCACTTCTTTTATCTGAGAGTGAGCATTGTCTATCTCTTGAATAGTTGATTGGCCCTTCTCAAAGAACTTTTGAGTGATATAATTAATATTAGAATGTTACTTAAGAAAATTAAGTATGATAATGACGTAATGGAATTCCTGTTTTGTGGTATACAGGAATCTTACTATAGTGTGATTTGATTAAAATTGAAAAAGTGCTGAATAAAACAAAAATACTTAGCCCATTAGGAATATTAAGGCTTTTGCCAATGGTTAACAGATACAGCTATAATATTTTTGATATGAAAATTAATAATTTTCTTTTATTTTTAAAGGATTTCTATATATTACAATAAATTACCATATGGGTCAGTAAAACGCACTCTACAAAAGATATCGATATATAAAGTTATTTTACAAAAATCAACATAATATTGCTAATTATGAAACATACTTAATGGACAAAATATCAGGAACCCATATAAAAATTAGGGAATTTCCAATACAAGATATCTCTTCTCAAATAGTCCCATCATTAATCTATCTAAAACATCTATTAAGCACTGAGAAGGTCAGTAATTGAGGAAAATACTCAAATTTATGTCAGAAATGACAAAAAATATATTTTAATAATATTAGAAAAATAATATTTGGTACAATCATAATTACTTTCATATTTTAATTTGTAAAATAAAATCTTAGTCTTTTATCTTGTTTACATGAATTGGTAATTATACACATTCTTGAATTAAAAAAATAATTAAAATAATGAATTTTTAAAATTGTTCCCCTATAAAACTGGGAAAAGTGTAGATAGAATTATCTAATTCTCAGGCGTCATATCTCCTTAAATTAAAAAAAATGAAAGTTTTTTATCAGTTATTTTATCAAAAAAGTAATTTCAGAATTGACAGTATAAAATTTTATTTAATAATTATATTTAGCAATTAGTTGGTTACAAACAAAATAATTAGAATGAGATAATAATGATAAAATGTTTTTATTTTATTATTTTTTAAAATACTAATACTCATTTATAAAATAAAGAAAAACGAAAATAGGTTTAATTTGCGATTTTTATTCAAAAATTCATGATTTATTTATTATCGCGATTTAAATCAATTTTATTTAATCATGCCAACCCTATTTAACATTTTCCTATATACTCATTCCTTAATGGCTTAAATATCATTTCACGGGCGAAGTCTGCAGGCCTCTGATTTTTAACAACATAAGATTAAACGTTCCTTAAATACGTATTGTTTATTAACATTCATTTATTATTTATGAAATGGGAAAGAATAAAAAAAAGAAAAGTTTTTTTTTACTTCAAGATATAGAATTTATAATATAACTATAGAAGATTTGTTAATTTACTATATAATTATAGAGGCTTTATATATTTTATTTAGCGTTAACCTGATTTATCTTCTTTAAGTTTAGGGAAAGCGAAAATATGAAGAATAAATTAAAAGCTGAAAAATCAGGTGCTGGAGAGCAATCTAAAGAAGTTGATACCACTAATCGCGGAAATATAGGTAGAGGTTTGCCATTTTTTTAATTCCTTCAAATTTCTAAAATTAAATATAATTTTTACTAAAAATTTTTTATTTTTTCTCTCATATAGAAAATAATGATCCAACAGCGGGGGTGTTAAAAAAGGATATCATTCCAGTGAAAGCTAGTCAGGTATTATTTGATAAATTTATTATATTTTCTATTTTGAGGATTAATTATTGTAACAAGGACGGAGCGCTTTTTTAAAAATAGTAAAATTATTTGATTATTTTATCTGAAGTTTTAAATAATTGTCGGAGAGTTTATACATTACGAAGTAGATTTTAATTATAAAACTAAAACCTTGCCCCTCATTCATAGCACGAATTCGTGGCGAAGTATACAAAATATGCTGTATTTTTATGTATTTTTTTTTATATACTTCACACGAATTCGCTCTAACTGTGAATGCAGGGTTGCTAGAGGGTTCATAATTGAAATCGAATCCGTTCCTTCCAAGACGGGGCATTATTAAAAGAACTCATTAAGCCGTCAAAGACAATTTATTATAACTAACATCATACTTGAATTCCTCTAATTCACACAAAAATTACGAAAATATTAAAATAACATTTGTATTTTTGTTTATTTTACTCATTATCTTTACCCGTTTATTTTTTTAAAATCCCGAGAAGGACGCCGAAACATTGCGAGAAATGACGATGAAACGCTACAGGAAACTTCGCCCTTTCGACAAATTGGAACAGAATCGTCCTCCCGCCCAGTCATTAATCAAGAACAATGCTTGCATGCTGAATAAGCTTCCCTCTTTGGATACGGATATGAAAAAAATACCAACTAATAAGAAAAAGAAAAGTCAACATTGTTACAAAAGCGAGGATGGTGGAGAGGTTTCTACCAAGGTCTTAAGAAAAGAAAGTCACGATTATGTCAAAGGTAGATCAGAGTTGATGATTTAGCCCTATCATTGAGCATTATGTTAAGTACCAAGGGCCACTTTATCTACCAGTCATTGTGCAGAGTGAGATCAGCCCAGCCCAAACTGGCCTGTAAAGATTTTTGAATAGATTTTTTCTACCCGGCGCATTTTTTTAATGAAGGTAATAGAGGTATATCTTTATTATAAGTTTTTCTAACCAAGTCCGAAATAAATTTTGCTAAAGTTGTCCTGTCCCATGGTTTACCATTTGCTCAAAATTCAAAAATCTTAAAAGATCCTTGTTCTTTTGAAGATCAAAAAATGTGAAGATTTTTTTGTAAAAAATATTTTCAGCATCTTCAAAGAAGATTTTTCAGCAGAATAAAACATGTATTTTGTAAAATAATATTTGATTTTCCCTTTTTTTTCTAAAAGAATGAAAAAAAAATTCCCAAATGTTTTTTTTACGAAAAGATCTTGGATTTTTTGATCTTTAAAGATTTTTTGCTCGAAGATTTTTGTTAAACACTTTGCCCCCATTCCGACCTTAAATGTAACCTGTCTATTTGTAAGTTGAATAAAACATAAATTATTGAAGATTGTATGATAGAAGGGGATGGGGGTGGGGTTTGGATATATTTGACTGATAAATAGAATGTTAGATTTAGCGTTAGAAGAGATATGAATGATAAACCACAATTCTTTTTTTTTCAATAACGTTCGCTAGAGAAAAAAAATACTATGGTGAGGTAGAATTTATCAATTCATTAAAGTTTTTTACAATTATATTTAAAAATGAAATAATGATCGTTTCCATCTTCATCTTACTTATTTATTTTAGATGGCGATAAAAAAGACATCAAAAAAAATACTTCGTATACTCACATGTTTGACGAAATGAAATCTTATGATCATGACATCACCTACACACAAATCATGGAAGCGGGTTATTTTCATGCAATATATTGAAATTTTCAAAAATGTTATCATTAAATTGATCGTTACAAAATTGTCTGAAATTCATAAGGTGGTTACCATATGCTCCGACTTTGCGGGCGGCAGCTAGGCCCTTGCTCCCATCGAAATATTTTAGAATATAGATAATGATCCATTATAACGTTAAATTTTTTTGAAAAAATTTGCAGCCCCCCTTAGAGATCTTTATGGAATATAATTCTGGCAATATCTAGTCTTTAAAAAAATTATCGCCCTAAATGATTTTAACCAGTATACCCTACAACGATATGTATAAAGGTCATCTTTCGGTGTAACGCTTGTAGGAAACTTTTTTTTAATTGTGAGAATTGCCCTTTGCTTTTCATTCCATTAGGAGAGCAAAAAAAATATTAAATTACAAATAAACTACTCAATTTTTTAAGCCTCAAAAGAAAAGAAAAGTGTTCATATATCAAAATCAACACCACCGATTCTTTCTAACAACGAAGATGTCCTTACAAACCCAGAAAATTGTGCTTCATCGAAAACGAGCAAAAAATCAGCGAAAAAATTCAATAACATCAGCTTGAAACGGAACGCTAGGGTTAAAAGCATGACATTTACTTATAAATAAAAAAAAGAGAAAAACGCGTAAAAGTTATTTTTTAAGGAAACATGGAACGGAATACACGTTATATTATACATCTTTTTATACCCCACCCCACTTCTTATCTCATATGAAAATTTCCTCCTTATTTTATGGTTTTTTTGTGATTAAAAATTATAATGTTTTCTACACTTTTTTATTCGCACCACCCTTATACAAAAAAAATATATTTTTTGCAATAATGAAATTATACCATTTTCATTATTTTATAAATGTATATTTTTAAAATAGATTATACATCTTATCAATATTCAGATATAATTAATCATTTGATTTTTTTTAAAAAAATCAGAATTTATATAAAATGAAAGAAAAAAATATAGAGTTTTCTTTCTAATTCTATTTTTTTTTAAAATATATTTCCAATGTTTTTAATGCCAATCATTTTTTATATTTTTTTTTTCAATTTAAGCGATTAAGCGGTTTTATTTTATTATTCTCAATAAAATGCCGAATGATTTTCTTTAACTAAAATGTTGCCAGATTAGTAGAAAAAAATAGACTTAAATCGGGACGTTAAGCCACACTAGCCACTTACAAATTGATTTTCCTTGCGTAGCACAATTTGATTCACTTTCATCTTTATATTTATATCTTCTATAAGTTCGTCTATAATTTTTTGGAGTAATGATGTATGGTAATTTTAATAAAATTTGGTCAGTGTTTAGCAAATTACTATATGACGTCATAATCATTACCCTAAATAATTTTTAGATGAGTTTGGTTTTTATGTATTTTTTTGAGGTATTTTACTTTTGAATGCAAAGTTGATTAAGATGCAGATATTTTTAATAATTTATATCTACGGATACAAGATATTCTAGATTTGTATCATAGATACAAATACTCGAGACACTTCCCAACCATGATAGATATGGTGAATGTTTGGCAATTTATATATGTATTCAAATAGGTCTTGCCCTATTTCATCTAAGATAAGGCAATTTAATTAAAAAAATTTTAATTTGAAGGGAAATCACGAATTTGAATTGTTTCCAGGGAAAATAAAAATGTAGGTTAATAATTTAAAATTAATTATTTTTAAAAAGCGTTATGAATCAATTCAAACCGGCTCAAAAATATTTATAACAATTCGGTTCGCTCTTTTTATATATTATAACGGCTTCGTCGTTCGATTCGAAGCCCTGCTATAATATTAGATAAATAAATTGTAGGCTAAACTAATTTGTATAATTCCAATTTACTGATAATGGTATATTAAATATTTTCAAAAATTCCTTTAAAGTTTAGGAGGGAATTATCAGATGCAGTGTTGTTAAACGACTCTATTTTGCCAATTTTTAGCCAAAATATTATATAAGCCTCGAGATTTCGCAATATCTTTCTGGCATCTATGAGCAAAATTTCCAGGCTTACATAATGTTTATGGATAAAATTTTGGGTTAACCTTTTTTAAAAATTGATCCATTCAACAACACTAATCAGAGGAAAGACCCCCCCCCCCCAGATGATTAGATTATTTACGATAAAGTGGTTTTACTTATCCTGTAACCTGTAAAAAGGGCAAGCAAAGAAGGTATTATAAATTTATTAAAAAATTGACATAATAATAATTTACATTAAATTACAAAGTATGCAAAAAATTTTACATATTAAAAAAAATATATGATTAATATTATGTAATGGCCATAATATTTCATGAATTTTAATTTTAAAAAGAAGTTTAATAATGAAATAAATATCTTTTTAATATTTAAATTATATCGAAAAATTTTATCCATCCCCAATTATATGACATGGCCTGAAGAGGAATAATAACAATTGTACATTTTTTTAAAAAAAGGTGATAAAGTTTTTTTTTCATAAAATAAAAAGTGACAATATTTTTTTCCCATATTATATATAATATTGGTTTTCTTCGTATAATTTGAAGCCATCCTCTAATGATTTTTGCAATTTCTAGATGGTTATTACTTACATGTATTCAACTTGCCAATATTTTAAAATACTCAGGTAAAAATAAAATATTATATGTTAATGTTTCTTTTTCCTCATTTTTTTTTTAAAATTCAAGTTATAATTTATTAGATGTATTAAATTTAATTAATAATAAAAGGTCAATATATTTTTCGCATAATTTTTTTTATTTAAATCAAAATATATTCAATTTTAAAATTTACTCATAATAAATATAATTGATATAAAAAGGTGGGAGATTTTTACGCCATATTCATGTAAATATTTTATATTATGAGAATTTTTATTAAGATGAACAGTTTTATTAATAAAACTGAATAAATTCCATTCAACATCAACCACTGGAAATAAAATAAATTATTTAAAAAAATATAAAAATGATATTTTTTAAAATTTTATTTAATTTTTTGTATCCCGAAATTGCCTAAACTTATCTTGGGCATCGATACTCTTTTAACTAAGGGCTAATTTATTATAAATGCGTTTTTATTAACAATTTTTAAAAAAGCTGAAGATTTTTATATTAAATATTTGTCATAAAGCAAGATATACATTTTATTAAATTATCGCAGTGTAGAATCAGTTTAGATTTCGATAGCGTTAAATAAGCAACTCTTGAATGTAACGCGTTTATATATTCAGCATAAGAATGCAAAAAGATGTTATTCAACTAGGTTCTTCCGGAGATTCTCGAATTTCTTAGGGTGTTTTTTTTTAAAACTCAATATTCAAATATATTGATTTGCTCTTTATTATTTGGAGTATTATTGGGTACACTTTTTTTTTGTGTAATTCATTTATGATTTTGTTGTCTGTGGGGTATTATTCCAAAAAATTTATCCTTTTAACATAAAGGAAATTAATACTATATATTTTTTTTCCAATTTTAGATGAACGTATCGTAGCTTGTTACTACGCTTCTTGGGATCAATATAAGCCGAATGACCAGAAATTTATGCCCCAAGATATAGATCCTCATTTGTGTACACATATTATTTACGCGTTTGGCTCTATAACGTCTAATTTTGGCATCACTAGTCAGGAGTGGAACCATAAAGGTAGCCTAGAAATCTTGTAAACTAATATGTTTCCCTTTTCTTCTATTAATGATATATTGGACCACTGAATTATATCAGTGGCCCTTACACTTTCTGAGCGATGGTAGCAGAATGCCCCCTTTGAAAAGTACCCCCCCCTTCGAAAAAATGGTTAATTATTTTTTGACACCAATAAATTTCAAAAATAATTTTTATTGCATCGATTTTTAATATATAATATAAATAAAATGTAAAGAAATATATACTTTAAAAATATTATTTTTAAATTACTAATATAGATAAAAAGCGAAAAAATTTATAATTTCATCAATATCTAATTGTTTATATTAATTTTTTCCCATTGATAAAATGGTAATTATTGAGAAATGGATCTTTCATGATACTACGAAACCTTGTTTTAATTAATTTAATTTTACTCACGACCCTTTCGGCAGTACTTAATTAAATAAATTTACGATTATCAGAATCTGACAAATCTTTAGATTCTTTAACCTCTAGGTCACGAGTAATAATTACATCTTTATAAATATAAACTTCAACATTTCTTTAAAAATTTGACTTGAATTTAAATGGAAAATTCACAGATATCCTCGATATCATCTTTAACAATGGGGTTTTCCGTCATTTCCTTCTCTCCTACATAAAATCTTGTGCCTTTGAAAAAAACATTTAAAAATTCAGTGTTATTATCTATTAGATTAAAAAATAATTAAAGACAATAATTTAAATTATACTTCTCAAATTTATCAGGCAATATTTTGCCAATTGAATTTGATTTATTGCAAACCCTATATTTTTCGAAATGGTTTGCAATTTTGTGCAAGACAAACTTGTTATCAACAAAATTTTATCCAAAACACAAAGTGACAAAATAAAATTAAATTTTCTATTCTAAAGACTATAGCACTAGCCATAGTGGAAGTGGAAGGATCTTCAGAATCTCTTAAATTTGTTAAAGCTGCCCTCAAGGCATCATAAAGTAGAAAAAAATTTACAATAGCTTTATATGACGATAGTTTCTATAAATATAAAATAAACATTTTAAATTAAAACAAATAAGATAATATTACCGAGTGGTATCTTGATGCGTAGAAATCGTTGCGGTTTTGTCAATACATTACTCTGACATGCTTTGAGCCACTCAAATCTTTTAACGCCATTAAAATATATATAAATCATGTCTAATATTCCTAAAACATATCGAAGTTCTTCTATTGATTGACGTAATTGAACATTGATTAAATTTAATCGATGACAATAGCACCAAATAAAAGCTGCCTTTGGCGCCTCCGCTCTAATCAAAGCCTGCCATTGATTCTTCCACTCACGTTTAAGGTGCCATCATAGCTTTGCCCAATTAGAAATTCAAGGGGTAAATTCATGTAGCCAAGTTTGGATATTATATTCTTTTTAATATTGAGACCAGTTGTATTTCCCGTACAATATATGTCTATAAGTCTTTCAAAGGGCTTAGGCGTCTCACTATTTTCAACATATCTTGCTATCAAAGCTATTGCTTCTGATTTCGAAACATCATATGTGCCATCAACTATGATTGAAAAGCACCTGTTAAATTCAATCTTTGAATTTTTTTATAACCATATTTTTCATGGTTTCAATGTAAATATTTATGTTATTATATGATAATAGATTTGAAATTTATCATCTCTTATATTATGCGATGTGCAATTTTTAATTAATTAGTATTTTTTTAATATTTTTGGGCATATTTTGAAATTGGAAAAAATAATTTATGACAAGAAATCTCGGATGACAACCTAATTTACTAAACATCGACCCAATTTTCTTCAATACATATTAAATTAAATAATAAGTGGGGGGGGGGGGGGTCTTACTATACATTCATAAACCAGAAATCACTTGGTTATGAATGGATGTAATAAAACAATAAAAAAATTAAATTTTTTTTTAGAAGCAGTTGCTTCGGACACCCACCCCTCCCCGTTGTATAGGCCACTGAATTATAAGAGAGCTGAATCCAATTTATATTTCACAATTTTTCTAGTTTCATAACTAAATAAACATAATAAATTCACGAACTTATAATTATTCAAAAAAATTTAATTAATTTTCATGCCAATTTAGTTTAATTTTTTTTTTAAAAAACTTCCATTGACTCAAAAATGCTAACTTATTTGAAGGAAGTGAATGACCAAAAGAGAGAAATAATAAAAGATTGAAAAAAAGAAACACTTAATGACATGATTACTAACCAAGACCTGCGATTCATTTATTAAAATGAATAAACATTACATTGAAGTTCGCCTTTGGAAGAGGATGAAATGTGAAAGGCATTTCTGGTATTTGAACGAAACGACTTTCAATGGCGTCACCCAATGAAATAGAATGACTTCAAAGTATGTACACTTTAAATAAATAAATTTCAGCAGTCTAGATTAGTATTAATGTCATTGACCACTCCAGTGATTTTCCCAGGATAAAGACTCTACCACTTCAAAATTATCCGCCATGTCTATTATAAATAGCTCCCGGGGCATAGATTCTACAATTGGACACAAAAATCTCCTACACAAAAACTCTTCGAAATTAAGGGCAAAAAAGCCCTATAACAATTAATAAATATTAAATAAATTATTGATCCTATATATGGCTACCCTTTAACCTGACCTTAAACCCTAACTTCTTTCAAGAGGTCGATTTTTGAGTCCAAATCTGTAACTTTTGAGTTGAACTGTTCAAAAATGAATCGAAGTGAATCGAATAATTTACTATATTTATATCAATCAAATAAAGATAGTAAATTCTATTAAACGTATTAATACGGATATGGTAAATTATTCGATTTATTTTTAAAAAAAGCGAATACGAATAATTCATTATTCGCTAAAATATTTACTTTTTTTTTGTAATTTCAAAACTTATATTGGAATATTTATGTCCTTATTTTTCCAATTTTATGAAATTTGTCCGAAATAATTGTGTCCCTGGATTTTTGTAAGGGGTATCTTTGCCCAATTGCCGATATAAATAGTGTTATAAATGTTATTTTTTTTAAAACCAGTTTTATATACGGGCCTCGTTAATCTGAAGAAAATTAATCCCGATCTGAAAATATTATTATCCATCGGAGGATGGAGCTTCAATCAAACCTATTTTAGCAAATTGGCAGGCGCGAAAGCCAATAGCGGCATCAAAACAAAGTTCATCAAAGAGTTCTTGATTTACCTGCGAGAAAATGGACTCGATGGATTGACTATAGATTGGGAATTTCCTGGGATACCAACCAGGGGAGGGGACGCCTTTCACGACAAATACAATTTTGCGCAATTCGTGAAGGTTTTATATTGTGAAATTATTTATAAATTCGATTTCAACAAAATTTTAGAAAGAAAGGAAATAAATTTGCCTTATTGCTAATTGCACCTCCTATTTATATTTAATCAAGGTGCTGGACCATACAACACCGGTATGGGCTCAGAATAAGGGGCTCTCTAAGAGTCCAGGTTCAGAATTTTTTAAAAATAGAGTTCGTTCAGGTGGATCTAGACAGTCAGGCCAGAGTTGATCCAGATCCATATCCTGTATAAATAGAAAATAACATGGAATTATCCAAACTATCGATCTAATATAAGAATAACTATAATCATGTTAGGATACTTATCCTAATGCATTAGGAGTAAAAAACAAAAAAACAATTATGTTTGAACATAATCTACAATTTTTTTTTAATTCTGTTTTTGAAGACATCAATCTGGTTCAGGAGAAAATTTCGGATAGAGTTCATAAACCTAAATATTTTTGGGTCCAAGGTTATTACGGGTTAGCAAAAAAAAGAGTCTTGGATCAGGAAGTCAAGGTTCGGGTTCTGTCCAAATTCCTAAATCTAATTGTAAGATGAGGAAAGAGGGGGGGGGGTGGAGAAATTTGGAATTAATATTATTATCATAAAATAGTTTACAAATTTTATTATTAATGTCCCTCTACTCTCATCTCATTATGGATATGGATGCGTATTGTGAAATCTTATAGTGTCATAAAATATTATAATAAGTAACAGTGAGAAAGATTGTATTAGATATATCGGATAGGCTAATGTCGATCTTGTTATCGACAATGTCGGATCAAATTAGGTTTCAAAAAAGGTTATCGTTGCACATCCAAATTATTATCATATGATATATATTTTTTGATTTTTATCGTATCGATCATTTTGTTTTGAAAAAAAAGGAATTACGGGTTGCAAGTAAAGAGGAATCCATTTTGGAAAATAAGAGCAGACTTTTAATTACAATCACGGGCGCGGTAGCTAATCCTATGTTAAATGCGGGGTATGACGTGGAAAAACTTTCAAAGTTAACCAAACACATTTTTTTAAAAAAAATGATCATTTCAAAACAAAAAAACAAATTCATTAAATATTATTTGAGAAAAAAGAGATAATCAAGGCTAAATATTTATCTCAGTGACCTGCAGAGGTTCCATTTATGCAGCCGACCTAGATTTAAAAAAATGTTTTCGGTCCAGCCCGGGTTTTATATTTTTAGGCCCGACTCGGCCCAGATTTTTTAAAATATATTATACTTTTTCTGATTTTTATCGCTAATAATAGAGATTTTGTTTGGTCTAATATATGGTCTGTCCCGTGTATTTATTTTTTAAAAATTTTAGGCCCCGCCAGGGTATCTAAATTTTTTAGGCCTAACCCAGGTATATTTAAAAAAAATAAGATATGGCCTGTTTCGTGGACCCGGGCTTAAGGCCGGGCCTGGCTTGCAGGTCTCCGATTTATATAAAAAGAGGTCTTTTGCATCAAACCACTATAATTTGATATAATATGTATACAGAGCGATGATTCATTGTCCCCGGGTTACCAACGCATTTTGAATACAAGTCTTTATACCATTGAATTTTCTAAGTTTATGAGAGATAAAAGAAAAAAAAATAAAAGAAAGAACGAAGATTAAAAAAAGATTGGAAGAATTTATAATAAAATAAATGCGAAAATTTTACAGAAAGTGTTATATTAAACGATGTAAAATCTTAGATTGTTTCTATCTAATAAATTTTTTTTTAAAATAAATCATAATCAAAATAATAAAAAAGTATTTAGTGAATTAATTCCAAGACATATCAACATGAGTTTTAACCCGACCTCCTCAGATTTTTCTAAATATTTTACAAGATTTAGCACATATATATATTATAATTAAAAAAAAAATTTTTTGTCTCCAACTCCGATCATCGGCTGAGAGGCGGGCTTCTAACGGTCGAGGGCATTTTAGGCTTCCTTTAATTTTAGATATCTTTAATAAAATTGAGCTTGAAGCGATATTTAAATTTCTTTATATAGCCGGTAGACCTTTAAAAGTAATGTTAAGGTTAATCTGGTAACTGTTAAACTAACCGTTTTAAACACTTTCAAACCGGTTTACAATTTGTAATTATATATATATGTTTTAAACAAATTTTTTTTAAAAAATAGTATATATTTTTTTAGCCGTTTAAGCCAATTTTTAGCCAGATTACACCTTAATGTCAACGGATTTTCTCCTGTGGGCGCCTAAAGATTGAGCCAAATTTAGCCGACTATTACCCATTACCCAATTACCCAACTATTATTATTTATTTATTATTCATGTTTTATATAACAAAATAAAGAAATTCAATTTTATTTTCTTCTAATTTTTGTATATTTATTAGTTTAGTTTTTTTATTTTTAAAAAAAAATTTATGTTTTTATGATTCCGTTTTTAAAAATATTTTTTATCAGATTATTATGGGTCAATTAATAAAATATATTATGATTAATCTTTTTTTTTTAAAAAATTTCAAAATTTATATATAAAAAACTACAATGAATCCGAAATAACCTGTAAAAGTTTCGAAACCCGAAATGAACCGAAATAAATTTGTTTAAAAAAATAACCAAAATAAGCTAAAAACTGAGAACGGAACCGTCATACCTATCAGGGAGGAAAAAAATATGAAAATAATTGATATTAAAATATCCAAATTAGTATAATCTTTTATTATAAAATTAATAAAGATACTCGGATTACATTTTCTTACTGAGTTATAACTTTAACGGTTGCTGGGACGAAATGCGAGAAGTGGGTTACCTTAGTCCGATAAGGAAAAATTTCAATAACTATGGAAGCGTGGTACGTAATGAATTATTTAGCTACATATGTTTTATTTTCTTTAAAATTTTTAAAAGCCTGTTGTTGACAGGATATATTTAATTTTTTTGATTTATTAATAAAAAATTTTAAGATAAAATTGTTCATTAATTATAAGCTATATTTAAATTTATACCGAAATGTATTCACCATAGTTAAATATTAAAAAATCTAAGTTGATGTAGAATTTTTTTAATTTGATATATTTTTTTAAAAACGGTAAACTCAATATTTAATCCAGAAAAATATCTAAAGATTTTGTTCATAGAAGGCACAAAGGTCTATACATATATTAACGAAATTTAGAGGCTTAGGCAATCATTTTCTAAATAAAATATTGTGTTAACCGTTTTTAAAAATCGCCTCAAAACGAGGCCTTCAACATTTACTAGGTCTTAAATAACCATGTAATATAATTTTAAAATATGGTCCAATATACCCTGTTTGTTAGTATAATAATATTTCTATCTGGTTAACGAAAATGAGATTCGTATTCCGCCTTCAAAACAAATTAAAAATAATTACATAACCCCTATGATTAATTTTTATTAATGCAGGATAATGACAATATTTTTTGTATGATGATCTTATCTTATAATATAAGGGGTGGGCGATACAAGAATGGGAAAAACTGGGTGCCGAAAAGGAAAAACTAGTAATAGGGATTGCGGCTTACGGATACATTTATCGCCTCGAGTCTAGATGCGATAAAAATGTGTTCTTCTGTGGATCTGGGAGGAAATTCAGGGAATGCAAAGTTTCCGAACCCACATTTACTGAGGTGAACAACAAACGAAATCAAATAAGTAGTATTTTAATAGCCAATAATGTGTAATATAGAATAATATTATTGTTTAAATGTTTATGACTTCTTTAAAACAAGAGAGTATATACTTAAGCCCTACCAGAGCCCTACTTGTGAACAAACATCATTTTGGAACTAATGCGGTCGGAATTTGATTTTAAAATTTTAATTCAGATTGCTTCAGTCACGGACCTTGGCTGAATTTTAAATTATTTTAAATGTTTTTTTATAAATATATTCTTTTCAATAATAACACCAAAATCTTCTTTTCCTACATGGTTAATAATTTTTGCCGCCTAAACAGTCCAGTAAAATATTTTCAGATCTGATTTAATTGGAGTCCGTTAATTTTAAAATGGTTACTCGGATTTGGATTGGTCCAGCAACATTATTTTTTTTCTAGGATCTGGCATGACTCTAAAAAAAGAAGTCATATGTAGTGTTCTGATATATATATTATATGTTATAACCTATAATCCATTATTTTATTTTAATTTTATAATGTTCACATGCCAGTTATGTATCAATTTTGGTTCTAATTCCGAAAATTGGACCCATGGATATGATGATTATGCTGATGCACCTTTCTCTTATAATGATGCGAGTCCCCCTTTATGGGTAACTTACGAAAATGAGAAGAGCGTAGCGGCTAAAGTTAATTAAACCACACCCCTTTAATATTTTGTTTTTTTTACATTCTTAGATTTTATTATATATATGTATATCAGGCGCGTAAGCAGGAATTTGGTCTGGGGGGGGGGGGGATAATAAATTTTTTCAAGAAATATTATTGTTATTTAAAAATATCAAGCAAAAATTTATTAGGACTAATAACTATTTTTAATACACAATTTTAAATTATATGAATTATAATAAAATTATATATATAAACCGGCACATAAAAAACTATAAAATAAATGTGAATTTAAAAATATAAAGTGAATATAACCACCATATGAATCACTAAAATGACCCAAAATAGAAATTTTTGAATTTTTTGAGCCTTATATATATAGTATAAAAAATTGAAATGTTGGAAATACAAAAATTAATACACAAAAAGTTTCTTAGGAATAATTGTATTTTGTATTATATTTACAATGTAAAATCCAATCTTCGTTGGGATTGAGCTAATTTTTCAATTATCATCCTTGCTTGGCGTCAAATGCCTATAAATATTTAAAAGATCCAAACTATTCAATCCACTTTCAGAAGTTGTACTTCTTAGGTATGTTTTTCAGAGAACTGCAGGCCTGGTTTCCGGGCCGGACCGTATTTTAATTTTTGAAATATACCCGAGCTGGGCCCGAAATTCTTTTTTTAAAAAAAACACGAGGGCCCGGCTGTATATTTTACAACCAAATATTTGAAATTAACTATTAAAATCAAAAATAAATATAATTTATTTAAAAATATCCGGCCGGGCCTGAAAATTTTATTTTAAATAAAACCGGGCTAAGCCTGAAAATTTCATTTAAAAACAACCCGCGGGCCAAAAAAAATTTTAAAAAAAATCCAGGCCGTGCCTTGCAAATGGTACCTCTGCAGGGCTCTGTTATTCTTCTTAAAAAAGAGAATGTTATCTCATTAGTTTACTAATGGGAAGAGTGCTAATATATAATCATTTTAATACATTGGGAATATAATCTAAAATGTGTTTGAAATTATACAAAGCATCCATAGCATTTTTTGAGACTATATCTTAGTTAATCTTTTAAACATAGTTATTCAGCTAATAAGGCATCAAACAAATATTATTTTTTTTCTATCACCATCTGAAAAAGAATGGGAAGGCTTTTGTGGAAGTAATATCTGCAGATTGGTAAGTGCTGCATGATGAATTAAAAACTATTCATTTATTTGGATTATATTTTTATAATACTTTTCTACTGATCTTATACTAATGTTTTGACGATGAGCTTGCCTTGCTGCAAGTCAAGGGAGACAAATATTAAAAACGTATAGCTCTCCTTTTGACTCAACAATAAAATATAAAATATGAAATTCTTCATCAACATTAGCCCTAATTTCCTTGAGTTCTGATAAAATGCTCTCCGCTATTCTCATCTTCTTAATCAAGTCAGTCATGTTTTTGAAAAGTAATACTTAAAATAGTTGTATAATTAAATAATACATTCTAATGAGAAAAAAAAATTGAAATAAGTATTGAATCCAATAATTTTCTTGCTTCTGAATAAATATTTCTTTCAGGCCATTGTGATATTTCAGTAATAGCATTAATAATCGGCTCTTCCTCCATAAAAGCTGTTACTGTTTGATGGCGGAGACTCCATCTCGTTGGACAAGCTTGCACTTTCTTTCTCCCTGTTGGACAAGGAGTTTCAGAAAAATTATTATTTGACTAGAAATATGAAAATGGTAGATAAATATTACGCCACTAGAAATTTGGAAATAATAGGTAAATATAACGCCAATGAAAACGTGAAATCGAAATTAATTGATAAAATAACTTAATAGATGTGATAAATAAATGTTATATTTAATATGAGATAGGAATAAATATTAACAAATATAAATTAATATAAACATTAATATTTTTGAAAAATATATACGGCATCTGCATTTTTTGGCTTAGGGGGGATTTGTCTCCCTGCCCCCCCCCCGCTGCGTACGCGCCTGATGTGTGTATATATATAATATATATACAATTTCTAATTTAAAATAATTCAATTATTTTTAAAAGACGGAATATATATTACAAGAAGACTTGGCAGGAGCTTTTATTTGGCTCATGTCTGGAGATGACCCTACCGGGAAATATTGTCAGAAATTCTACCATCCACATGCAAATAAGAACAAGCCTTATCCATTAATTACCGTTTTAAAAAATGGTTTAAATAAATAGTTTAATGGGTCCGGTCGATCAATTTTAAAATTAAATATATTTTTTGTATATCGTGAAAAAATTGTTATTATGCATTATTCGCTATCTACTAATGAAAAATATATATATTATAGGGTTAAAAAAAGGGGCCGTTAAATATGTTTTAGCACAATAAATCAATAAACTCAATTCAATTTTTTTTTGATTAATTTTATTTTTATATTAATAAAAACGCGTATATATTTTTTTTTACCCATACGAAAAATTGTGTATTAGCTATGTAGGAGAATAAATTGAAATGAAAAAAAATATAAGAACTGTTAGCAAACAGTAAGAAACTTTAATAAGTTAGGGTTCGAAAGACCCTGTAACCTATAAATATAAAGTTGCTAAAAATAATAATCAACATATATATAAAAATATGAATAAATAAATTATAAAATAATAAGACTTGAAAATTTAAAATATAAGTAATAAATTTAACATAAATTATTTAAAAAAGTTAAAAATAAGAAAAATTAAAAAAAAATTCTTTTCAAAAAATTAAAAAGTGAATTATATCCACAAAATCTCAAATATATTTCTTTCCTTTAAAATCATTTTCGAAATATCCTCATTTACATAGTTTATATTATGAAATTAAGTAATATTGTAATAATTCTCCTAATTTGAATTAGACATTTTTGTCTTAAAATATTCATCTGAATATTACAACAAGCTACAGCGACTTCTCATCAATATATAATAATATTAGATAAAAGATTTCTCAATAATTATCTTTCAAACTCTTCTCTCCTAATTAACTTTTTAATTACTCTTAATTTTCTGAAAATGTGAAAATATCAACTTTATATATATATAGTCTGCCTTTTCCCCCGTCTTTAACTGGATGAGCATATGAGAGATATGCAAACCCCGGTACATTCGAAAGTCTAGTCTGCGGACCGGACCAGCCTGGAAAAGTTTAAAAAAATTAAAACGGGCCTTGAAATTCTTGCATAATTTTTTTTTGGGTCAGACAATTTATATATAAAATATCAGGCAGTGCGTTGCAAATCTCTGATTTTTCATTAAATTTTAATAGGCCAGCCTGGGAATTAAAATCTTGCTATATTTTTTTGAATTTCAGGCAAAGTATTTTATGGTTAATATTATTTAAAAATAAATTACAATATGCTTATTTTTTTTGTATTTTAAGAGCTGTGTAACTAAAATATTAATTATAGAATAACATAGAAATTCATAAAATAGACATAAAGGAGAAATAATAAAAGCCTTAATTACTATAGAGAAAAAATTAGATTATTAAAAATGAGAAAGCCGAAAAATTTGTACAAAATAATGAACGAGTCTTAATTTCCTTAATATAGCCTTACCCGTCTCCTATCTCCCATCCCTTCCTTTCCGATTACCTCCCCCCGATCTCTTCTCTTCCTTTACCTTCGCTTCCTGCCCATCCTATTCTTCCATTCCATCTTCTCTCCTTTCCTCCTTATAAGAAAAAAAATTACAGTATAAATAATGATCGAAATATGCAATTTTAAACAATTTTGCAGTTCTCCTAAGCAGATCATATATACGATATTCTAATCATATAAATACATTGGCATTCATAATCAATTGATATCACCGTTAAAAACAACATTAAAATGACACATACTAATTTTCTAAGGGATGATTTTGACTAAATCACACCAAAAAAATTTACAAAGCTCTTTAATGAATATATAACTTAGTTAAGGCCGTAAGTTAGGATTTATTTCCAATTTGAAAATGAAATTATAATTGTTAGAAAAAAATTATTTGGCCTATGAGATTCTATGGCTAAAGGTAAATTCATATAATTATGTTCTCTTTTTTATTTATTTAAATATTCATATTATTTTTTTTAAATATTTTCTCACTTCCCCTACCCATTATAAATTAAAAGGATTTATATATATATGCCGTAAGCTGTTTGTAAAGTAGTGGAAATACAAAAACTTGAGTTTTGCTTTGAGGGTGGTTTTACTAGTTTATGAAAAATTAGAAGACATAATAGAGCCATACAATAATTTTAATAAAAAGAAACCCTAAGTCTTATTTTTATTTAATCCTTATGCATTCTGGAGAGTTTCAGATTTTTTTTTAACTGAAATTTAAAATATATCTTTACTTTTTTTTCTCAAAATAAAATTTGAATCTGATAAAAATTTATTTGACAAATGGTAATTTTTTGCTAAAAATAATTTTTGAATTATTACGTGTTTAAAATTATTATAATAATATTATATTTGACCTAAAATATACCTTATTCGTATATATGGCATTCGATTTTTCGTAAAATTTTGAATTTTTAAAAATTCGGAACTGTTTTGAATGATATGTAAGTGTCATAAATGTTAAATTTAATATTTTTGATGAAATTTGTCATCTAAAAAAATAAGGTCAAACATGTATATAAAGTTGTAAATTATTTGCATAGGTGACTTTTAATTTTAATATAAAAGCAAAAACAAAATCTACTTCACCATCAATTTTTCAGTTTTCTTTAAAGTTTAGAAAAAAGATATAAGAATTTCATATAAAAAAGTGATATTTTAAAAATAGAAAAAAATTGGAAATAATTAATAATCCAAAAATATTTATTAAAACTACGATGTTTAAAGTAATAAAATGTATATTAAATTATAATGATTTTATTTAACAGGTCATATTCTTCTCCTTATTCGTGGTTGGATTGTATGGGGGTGCCATTAAGAAACTAAATAATGGAGCTGCTTACGATTCCAGTTCAGGGGGTAATGGCTATTATGTTGTTTTAATTCTCTCATTGATAATCAATTTTTTTTAATATAGATTCATCGTATGATTCTTACTCTTCGGTAGCGGGTGATTCTTACTCTTCTGATCCGTATTCAACATCCTACTCTTCGGCCGGTTCTAGTTCATACGGAGATAATATTCCCAACTCCTATGACGATTATTCCGGCAGAAAAAATTCTTATAGCAATTATTATGCCCCTGCTCCTTCTTACTCTAGAAGCTATGATAGTTATTCCAAGGGCTATGACAATGATTATCCTGACTCTTATAGTTCTAACTATGGAGGGGCGAGACCCAATTCTTATGGTCCTTCGTATGACTCTCCTTCATATGGTTCCTCCAGGAAATATAGCACTGACTCTTATGGGGGACAAGGATATAATCAAGGTGGATATGGGCAGAGTCGTTATGGGGGACAAGGATATAATGGATATGGGCAGAGTCGGGGACAGGGATATAATCGAGGTGGCTATGGACAATCTTATTCCTCTCCCATTTATGGTAGCAGGGGGTCTTACGCGAGATCGTATGATTCATACGGAAACAATGATTACTAATTTTAAAAATATTATTTGCTTGCTTTTTACATTTGATATTTTTAAATAAATGAATTAAATCTCCAGCCTTTATATGCATTATATTTGATTTCTGATAATGGAAATGCCAAACCTTTCGACCATTTATGACCATAGGCTTATTTAATATTTTTTGGCTAAAAATTCATTTAATTTTGCAACTTTTTTAATCTTAAAATTAATTATTGGCATGATCTAAAAAAAATTTCAGCCTCCCAGTTATTTTTACCCTTTGCCCCCTTCTAAAAATTTACCCTTTATCCATTTTTCAATTTTCTTTCTACCAAATTAAAAATATTTTAAGAAAAGAGAATCAAATTAGCAAAAAAAACATATCAAAACTACCCTCCCCCTCCCTCCCCTTCAATTGTATTCAAACAAAAATGGCTCACAATTAACAAAGTATAAAAATGTTTATCTGAATGATTTATAAAAGTATCTTAAATACATAAAGTAAAAATAAATGAAGAAAAATCAACATAGCAAATTTTTAAACTTAATTGGACTTGGTTTTAAAAGAGAAAGCTATAATGATTAACATTCAAAATTTTTAAAATAATATGAAGGGAAAATCGCAGAAAAAAAAAGATTTTATAATTCTTTTCATGTATCGGTATCGAGGCATTTGAGAAGTATCATTTAACTAAATCCCTACCCTCCTCAAATTTTAATGATGATCTTGCGTCATATCCCTTTTCCCTTGGAATAGTAGTGCCTATTTACGCCAGGGCTTGAAAAAAATTGTATTAAAAAGTTAATGATTTGGATAAAGTTTTTGGTGAAATATGTTAGGTAATGTTATATCGCCCAAGAGTTGGGCTACCACGAATATTTATATCTAAAATACAAGATACAAGATCTTTTTGTATCTTGTACTCAGTATCATTTTGACATTTTTAATAAGATACTAGTATCTGTATTCAAGATCCTTTATTCTGAAAAGAATCTTGTATCTTTTCATCTTCTTGACAACAGATTCTTTTTAATATTCATATTTAAAATTTTACATATCACAGTATATTGAATTTAAATTAAATATATAATATTAACTTTTCGTTTGTAAATTATATAACCTGAAGGATTGAATTCATGATATATATATACGTGATATTTTGTATTAAATATACTTTTACTTACTTTTATTTAATAAAACACTTCATTGGCGACGATATTTTTAGAGAAGATTTATTTGATTTATTAAATTTAAAGTAAAAGACTCAATGGAAGTAGCTCCTATTAAAGTTGAAGATTCAATGGAAGTAGTCCCTATTAAAGTTAAAGACTCAATGGAAGTAGTTCCTATTAAATTCCATATTCCAGAATTCGTCAAAGAAAAAGTAAATATTCAGGACTACTTATTTAACTTGGAGTTAATTTATAAAGTAAGAAATATTATAGATTTAAATACAAAAAAAGACCTGCTTTTAGCCTATATCGGAACAGACAATCTTATCAAAATTAAGAACTTTCACTTTCCAATAAATTTAGAGATGATAAATTATGATACTTTAATAAAAAGCTTAAATTTGGTGTTCAAGGATAGTTCGAGCATTTTCGTAAATAGGAAAAAAATTTTTACGCTAAAAAGATGCAATAAGACGATTATTGACTTTTCAATTAGGGTTAAAACTGTCTGTTCTCTTTGTAATTTTAAACCGCCTTTTGATGAACTTTTAAGAGATATATTTATCCTAGGAGTAGGCTTACCTGAGTTGGACAAAGAACTTCGGTCAAAGTATATCGAAGGCAATATTACTTTTGAAGAGACCGTGCGTTTAGCGATCGCGCTGTCTTATATGGAAAATGAAACCCAGACTTAAGTTAATAAAATAATTAAAAATAAGCTAACACAGGGTTCGAAAAATAATTATTTTAGAAATAATAATTATACTAACGTCAATAGATTCAATAATAATAAACACTTTAGTAACAATTATATTCCTAATAATAATTATAGACCTAGTATCAAACCTAACTCTATTCAAAAGAAAGTGATATGCTTTCGTTGCGGTAAGGCAAACCACATAGCGAAAGATTGTAGAACCCATGCCATACAAATGATTCTGCCACGGACACCTCGCCTGTCATTTTCAAATAAAGCAACCATCGATGCGAAGATAAATGGGTTGCAGCTAGCTATGGAGTTTGATACCGGCGCCGCGTGTAGTGTGATTGATGAGGTCACCTGGAATCGTATTGGCAGACCACAACTATCACCGGCTTATAAATTAGTGGGATATAATCATATCCAAATCGAAGTACTAGGTAAATGTACCGTAGAAGTCAAAGTAAAAAATATTTCGAAATTTTTACTTATTTGGGTAGTTAAAGGGGAGAATTCCCTTATTTTTGGGGTGCCTTTCATTAGAGAATTTGATATAAAACTACCGGAAGAAGTTCGTATTAATAAAATAAATATGAATATGAATATTCCCTCTTTAAATACGATTGTTTCAAAATTCCCTCAAGTTTTTAAAAAAAAATTAGGTGAAATCAAACTGCAAAAGGCAGTCATCCGAATAGAACTGAACACGTTACCGATTGCATTACCAGCAAGAAGAGTTCCTTTTCCGTTGCGTCGAACCATTGTAGCGGAGTTGGACAGATTTTTAGACGAAGGCGTTATCGATAAGGTGGGTCCAACAATAACTCCAATCACTTGGGCTATGCCAACGGTTAATATCTTAAAGAAATCCGATGCCGTACGGATATGCGGAGATTTTCGTTTAACAATCAACAAATATCTAGCGATCGATAACGATTTACTACCAACTTTCGTCGACCTAACAAATAAAATGGCGGGTGGTAAAATATTTTCAACAATAGATTTAAGAGATGCATTTTTACAATTCGGAGTTAGTCCAGAATGTAGGGACCTTTTAGTAATTTCGACACATGTCGGTTATTACCGATACCAAAGAATTCCATTTGGTTTGACTAGCGCTCCGATAATATTCCAACGCTTTATGAAAAACCTATTAAAGGGAATTCCTATGGTTAGTGTATTTTTAGACGACATAATTATTGCAGGTGAGAATAATTCCGATCATATAGTTAATTTGGAAGAAGTATTAAGAAGATTTGAGAAGGCTGGACTGACCACGACGACCGATAAAATTAAAATCGGAGAAAAGTCAGTCACTTATTTAGGTCATGTTATTGACAGTTTCGGAATTCACCCTACAGAAGATAAGATTAGCGCTATAAAAAATTTTAAAACACCTTCCAATGTTAAAGAACTACGTTCATTTCTTGGAATAGTGAATTATCATGAGGCATTTATTAAAAATTTGCATTCTATTTGTGCGCCTTTACACCGACTAACGAGTAAAAATGTTGGTTGGTTTTGGTCAGCTAAAGAAAATGAAATATTTACTAAAGTTAAAAATATATTGTCAAAAGAAGATACAATAATTCCTTATTCAGCCGATATCCCTGTCGTGATTTCTTGTGACGCTTCCGAAGATGGTCTAGGAGCTGTTATTGCACACCGATTTCTTACTGGCCAGGAGAAACCGATTGCTTACGCATCGAGGACACTTTCGGCGGCTGAAAAGAATTATGCCACAATTGTTCGGGAGGCTTCGGCGATCATGTTCGCTATCGAGAAGTTTCATCAATATATTTTTGGAAGACATTTTATCTTGGTTACTGATCATAAACCATTACAATATATTTTAGGTGATAAAAGAGATCTTAACAAAATAACAAATAACCGTTTAATACGGTGGGCGACGAAACTATTAAATTATGATTATGAGATAATATATAGACCAGGTAATCAAAATAAATGTGCCGATGCTCTGTCCCGTTTGGGGGTAGAGAAAGCAAAAACCAATGAAGTTACAAAAAAATTCGAAGAAGAAATCAGAGGATTAAAAATTAATTTAATAGAGGATTTATCTTTCACACGCAGTAAAGTCGTAAGTGAAACGAGCAATGATATAAACCAAAAAGAGATTATTAAATTAATAAAAAATCATTGGTATATTGATAATATAAATAATTATTCGGAGATTGTAAAAAAATATATTTCGATTAAAGATAATATTTCGTTCGAAGAATGATTATTATTTTATAATGATAGAATTATTATTCCAGATATTTTAAAAAAGGAGGTTTTATATGTGATTCATCGAGGACATCCTGGGATAGTGGGGATGAAATCATTGTGTAGATATTACGTGTTTTGGACAAATCTCGATACTGATGTTGAAGACTTTGTTAAATGTTGTAAGAGTTGTCAAGAAGGAAGGCCGGGAGCTAAAGAAGTGCCATTATACAATTGGAACATTCCTACCCGACCTTGGGAACGATTACACATTGATTTGACAGGCCCCGTATCTGGAAAATATTGGTTAATTTGCTTAGACGCTTTTACCAAATGGGTTGAAGTTGCAATTTTAACGCATATTAATTCGGCGAGTGTAATAAATAATCTGCGTAATTATTTCGCTAGATTTGGGTTACCTCGCTACATTGTCTCAGATAACGGTACTCAGTTTACTGGATCTGAATTCAAAACGTTTCTTTTTAAAAACAATATAAAACATTTTAGATCGGCCCCTTATAGCCCCAAATCGAATGGTTTGGCTGAACGATATATACGGACGATAAAGACGCGTTTCTATGCTGGAAGGAGATGTGGGACTCCGGACCAGTTAAATTTAGCAAATGTTTTAATTACTCACCGTAATACTCCCAATGCAACTACTGGTAAATCTCCTGCCGAGATGATGTTTGGAAGGTCGCTTAGGACGACATCAGATCAGTGAAAATTATCAACGAGAGAAAGGACGGAAAACGCTCTATGGAAACAAAAGTACTACAAAGATAGAAGTGTTGAACCTCGGGAGTTTGTAGAGCAGCAAAAAGTTTGGATAGCAAACGAAAGGACAGCAGGGTGGCATGAAGGAAAAGTGTTACAACGAAAAAGCGCAATATTGTACGATGTGGAATCAGAGGGGATCGTTAAAAACAAGCATGCAGATCAATTGAGGGATGCACATACACAAGAGAAGGAAATACCCGTTACGTTGACCGAAGAAGTGGAAAAGGCAGAACATGAGAATACAACTCTTGAAAAAAGAGTTTCGAAACCCCCATTACGTTATCACGATGAATTCAATTTATAGTGGGGAGAACTGTAATATAAATTGAATTTAAATTGAATATAATATTAACTTTTCGTTTGTAAATTATATAACCTGAAGGATTGAATTCATGATATATATATACGTGATATTTTGTATTAAATATACTTTTACTTACTTTTATTTAATAAAACACTTTAATATCCTGTTTTCACGGAAATCTTGTATTAACTTTCTTTTTTTTTTCCACCATATTTTAATTATATTGACAACCAAAATTAGCTAGAAAATTTCCAACTCATATTAAGATAGATATAGATAAAAAATAACAACACCAAAACGAAATAAGTAAAATGTAACTTGATAGAGTATCATTACCAATTTTATGTAATATATTTAATTTCTAGGATGATTAACATTCATGGTAGTGAAGAAGGTAGTGAAATATAAATTATTAAAATAAGTTCCCTTGAATCAAATCCCAATTTTAAAATTTTAGATGAAAATTTTTAAGAATAAAAGTTAAAAAAGATAATGTACAAGATAAATACCTGTATAAACAAAAGATGATAAAGGGTTCAACAAAAATTTTGTTAAACATATTAAAGTATATTATTTATATTTGAAAGGGACATAGGTTACTTAAAAATTCATGCTTACAATATTGTCTGTCTACCTTTATTAAAAGCTGCCCAAAATGGTATGAGCAAAATATTTTGAGGAAATATTTTTCTTATGATATGAATAGAATGTGGATTTATTGGCATTTAAGAACTTATAGATTGAGGATAATAAAAAAAATCCAAAATATATTAAAAGAAGCCTTAAATATAGTACCAGAGTATATAATTAAGCTCAAACTATAATACAAATAGATTCAACATCTAATAAGTAAATGATGATTATTTTTCTTTTGGTGAAACAAATGTTGCTGAGTTTAATAATACTAATAACATTGAACTAGAGGTTTTAAATTATATTAAAGAAAGTCGAAATACATAATAAATGCTTAAGTATTATCCTTCCATTAGGATAATGCTTTTAAAATATGATACTGCCAGCTCCAATTTAAAGGTTATTTTTTGTCACAGTGTTAAGTACGCCGAAACGGCAAAGGTCTAATGATAAATTATTTGAAAAATTTGATTATCTTATAAAATAATGAATCCATTTTAAATACTCTTTTGCAAATTAATATTTCAACTCCTATTAAAATATTAGTCTACCTTTCTTATCTATGCCAAGAATAATAATACTAATATTAAAATGCCTGATTATTATAATTAATTCATTATTAAATATTATATCTTGTATTAAAGATAATCTAATTTAGCAAAAGATACAAGTATCTTTTATTGTATCTTTTTGATATTTTGAAAAAGATAATATATGTATCTAAGATTGAATTTTTCAAAAAGAATCTGTATCTGCATCTAGATTCTTTTTCCTGAGGACCTGCTAAACTCTGATCGCCTTGAACAAAAAATATCTGATTTATTTATAGAATTGAGGATGTAATGTTATTCATGTCATTAGTAATCTTCCTTAATTTTTTTAAATTTTAGTATATAGGAATTTATATAACATTAAAAACCTTTTTTCTTTTTTCTTTTATCTTATCACTTTATTTCCATACTTTAAGATGTCATATTTAATTTTATTTAAAATGTTTATCAAATAGAATGATTTAAATATTTATTATTTTCCAAATATATTATAACATTATCAATAAATCTGAAAACTTATTAAAGTAAAAAAAAAGTATAAAAATTTATTGTTGAGTTGAGATCTTGAGTTCCTATCCTATATTGATTCATTTCATTTTACACACATCTAATTGAAGTACTTCATCAGCAATTTCTAGTAGGTGTTCCAGGTCAATTTAGCTTAGAGTAATGAAAACATATCATTTTTAAAAATTTTATATCATTGCTTGCTTATAGCATATAAGTGTTAATGATTTGGTTTAGATGAAAGTGAGCTCAATATAAATGGTTAGCTTCTCCGAATAAACACTTGCAGCATCTTTAGAAAATGCGAAACCAAAATAAGATATTTGGTAAAATTATAATTGATTACAGTGGATGATTTTTACATTATGTGCTAAGGTTAAGCCAGTGTTTAGTAAAGTAATATTAAATGCGTTTTTAGACTTAGTAATCGAAAAGTTCAAACGTCAATCCATATCAATTACAGCGTTTATGGGAGGCGACTTGTCATTTTTTCTAATGTAAAGGTTTTATTTAAAAAAAATGAATTCGACAATAATATTGTTTATTCGCAGATTTTTTCATGCACATTTTAAAATAGATGAGATGCTTTTATAGATTTAGAAAATTAAGGAAGGAATTTTATCAATTTAAAAGAAATGAAAGAATTTTTGTCTATATATTAATATAAATCACTGCCTACGCCACTGGATAAATTATATTTTTTTTAAAATCTTATATTTACATGACAGCTGTCAATGAGTAGATGCATAATTATTAATTCGATAAGAAATCTAAACATGATGAATGAATAGAGCTTAGATATTTTTTAAATTTATAATGGATGATAAAGGAGAATTAGAGTTATTAAGAAATGAAATAATACGATTAGAAAACGAGCTAGAAAAAACAAACCATCAAAACATTCAAGCCGCTGAATTGGGATTGTCTGTTTTAGAAGAAAAGGAGACAATTGAAAAGAAAAATAGAGAATATGAGGCCTTATATGAACAAAGTCAAAAAGAGTTATTACAAACGCAGGAAGTAATTAAATTATTTTATAACAAATTTATATGCATGTTGAGTTAATTTTTAAAATTTTATATGTTACTTAAATATATAAATTATGTATATGAATTTATTGTGATTCCATGTAAAGAAGAAAATAGTTGGGCTGGCATATAGGGTTCTAAGATTGAATTCATAAAATCTATATGATATAATATATTTAATTATAAACAATTAATTTTTTGTTTTCTTATCAATGTTGGAAACTACAATTAATATAAAATATTATTTCATCATTATATCCTGTTATTAAAAATCAAAAAAAATTCTTTAATTTATTATTTAAAATCATGTTAATATTGTTATTTTATTGGTAGCACTTATTGTTACAAATCTTTAATATAAGAAATATATCAATACCAAGATGTGGAAAATAGTTCCACTCAATACTTAACAAAATTTTAATGATTTGCAAATTTTCAAAACCAATAAGGAATATAAAGCTTTTTTTTAACAATTTCTTTTACTTTTAAAATTTTCTTGCAAACTTTATTATACCTTGTCCCAGGGATGCCAACCCTGCAAAATTTTTCTTGGGTTCAGTTCGGGTTCAGCTTAAGGTAAAATAAAAATAGGTGGTGGGTTTGGGTTTGGTTCAGGGAAATATTTTTGAACCTGGGTTTGGTTCTGGGTTCAGCTCGGGTTTAAGAATTTTTGAATTGATAAAAAAAATCTTTATTTAAAACATAATTCTAGACATAAATTTGCTATAAAAAATTAATTTTTTATTTTATTTATAGGCAAAATATAGTTAAAATACAAAGCATAGTCATGTATCAAATTCAAAAAATTTTATCTAGATGTATTTCTTCAAATTAACAATATCCAATACAATAATTTTTACTTTGACTTATTCACTTTCATTTTCCTCTAATTAATAATAATTGAGAATAAGTTAAAAATTAAAAATAAATGGTGTAATTGAATTTAATTGTTTAAAATTTATTAACACTCCAATAAGAATCTTTGGGAATAAATTAAAAAGTTGTAAAAATGGCATGAATAAATTAAGTTGTTTAAAATTTATTAACACTTCACTTAATTGGAAATTTGTAAATATTATAAAATCTCAATTAAATTACTAATATTTGTATTTACTCAAATATCTTAATATATGATTTTAAACAATACATTGAACCCGGGTTTAAATAAAATTCTTGGATTTTGTTAAAAAATTTTGAAAAATTTATAAACGGGGTTTAGGTTCGATTTGGGTTCAGATTTTTTCCCTAAAAACCCGGGGTTTCTTCTCCTGGTTTAGGTTCAGTTCAAATCCCTGCTTTGTCCTAGCTTGACTAAAGTTACAAATTTTAATTAACATAATCAAAGGTATATGCTCAAGATATCTTACAAAAATTGGTTCCCAATTTTGGTTAAATAAATATTAGAATTGTTATTTTGTTCAATTAAAATAATTTCCTTTCCTAGATGTGAAATTAATTTTTGAATGGCATCATTCTAAGAGATTGGGGTAGTGAATACCTCACATTGTGGTAATTTTTAAATGATCAATTATAAAATAAAAAATTTTGTTTTGATTAGTTCATATTATATTAATTATAAATAAATATAAAATTGATGGAAAATATAATATTTTTGCATATTTTTTCCAATAAAATTGTTCATAAGTATTGTTGGCGTCATTGGTATTTGCATTTCTGATTCATTTTACTGAGTATCAAACTTTCTAAATTCTATACTAAATTTATGTATCCTATAAATATAATATGTAAATATTGTATCATATATCCATATTTTATACATTATCTTAAATCTTCTATATTTTAACTTTAATATATGAAAACTATATTTAAAAATGATTCATTTTTTTAGTTTACAAAATACAATTTTTTGAACCAGGCCTTAGGTAACAATCGTTCTATAAAAAAGATTTCTGTATTTTCTCATGAATTTAATATTTTTTAAAAAGGAAAATATTATAAATTATATCAATTAATATAGTATTTTGTAGTAACATTTAAACTTTGTTGAGATTCAAACTTAATATATCATTTATGATTTCGTTTAAATATTTTTTTAAAAATGATTACAAAATTATCTTTAACTTCAGTGAACTATAAACTGGGTTTAATCCCTGAGTGAATTAAATACATTTCCCCCCTCTCCGAATTTGTGAAAATTTTTCGTTAACTATTTAAGCAAATAAAAATCTTTGTCTTTTTTTTACATAATAGCTAAAACATTTTTTTAAAAAAAGCAAAAAATGGATATAATAATCTTAATTATAAAATGATAAAAAATAATTTTAAAGTAATCTTAGCAGAATTAAAGACGAAATACACAAATTTTCAAAAAATAAAACCACTCGGAAATTCCTAGTTATAGGACTTGGACCAATAATTTTTTTCAAAAACCAAAATCGAGCCTCATCCAGCCCCCGTCATTCCTATCCTTTTTAGTGCCCTAGCTATTAAAAAAGACAAAGAGATTCGCCCATCGCGGTAGAGTCTTTTTTCCGAAAAGCAGTTTCTAAAATCATTGTTTCACGAATCAAGTAAGTGGGCAAAAAATTTTTAAGAATGGGCAGGCGGGCGGCTTAAAAAATTTTAACTATGGGTGGGCGGGTTAAGAAATTTAAATTAAACAATGGGCGGGCGGAAATTTAAAATCATTTAAGTAAATATTAATAAAAAATTGTTTTTATGAATTTTTTTGGATATTAGAAATTAAAATATCCTTTTTTGGTATCATAAAAACTTTTTTCTTAGAAAATAAACTTTTTTTTATATTTAAAACTACTTTGGTGGAAACGACAAGAAAGAGATTTGCCAAAGCTATCAAGATTAGTAAGAAAAATATCGGCAATTCCTGCAACTAGTGCTTCTTCTGAACGAGGATTTAGCATTGCTGGAAGGTTAAGAAGAACGTGTTTGAATCCAGAAAATGTCGATTCATTATTTTTTTGCATTATTAATTACATATATAATATCAATTTTATATTTATATTATTTGCATCAATATTTTATTTGATCAAATAAATTATCCATAATTTAAATTGAAAATTTTTTTTATGCTTAATATAGTAATTTCCTAAAAACTTTTATAGAGGTGTAATGCTGAAATTTTTTTTTATTAGATGCTTAAAAAATTGAAAGAATGGTCATAATTAAATTTTATAATAGCGGGCTTGGGCGAGTAGAAAAATTTAGACTAATGGTCGGGTGGGCGGGTAAGGAATTTTAGACTAATGGGCAGGCCTGGCGGATATATTTTTTGAAAACTATGGGCGGGCTGGATGGGCGGGTTTATTTTTTAAAACATTGAATGGGCGGGCTTATGGCCCAATGCAGACATCTAATCCCACCCATCATCGGAGATCTCTCACATATTACAGGACTATCACTCAATCTCCTCAAATGTGAGATTTGCTTCCTACAATTATTCCTTTAGGCACCACATACCATGTCATTAACAGGAATGAGATGACACATCTTGGATCACCAATAGGGAGTGAAAGGCCATCGAAACTTTTTAAATGCCTTAATAATTTGTCTAATTTAAACATTATTTAATTACTCATCAATCCTTTTTTTAATCAAAAACTACTTTAATACCCAAAATTCTTTACGCCCTCGCATCGACAATACAGTGATTTGCTAGCTTCTCTTGAAATCCAAATTAAGCGCCTCCTCTAGAATATATTGAAATAAAATTTCCCGACTCATCTTGGCTTCTGGCCGCACTCCCCATCAAGATCAGTAGTATTGTATCCGATTCCCGTTACAACTTTCTCTTTCAGCCTTTATCCCACCCCATCCAGCTGCTCAAATTATCATCAATAATGTATCCACTCCTATAGATTCTGACCTATCTCAGGCCCTTACCTTTTGAGGCGCCAACAGCTTTTCTATCCGCTGTCGTCCTGCCTTCAGCATTTAAAAAGACTGGGATGCTCCTTTGATATCCCGTTCCGTTAAATACTTATTTCGAAAAGGCCCTTTGAGGAAAATCTCAATAACATAATATTAAATGTAAGGCTACAAATGGTTGGAAGCCATCCCTAGTTCCAATCTTAGTCTCCTCATGACTGGCGAAAGCTACATAGGCTGTAATGCCATAGTACCCTCTATTTGCATCGATTGTGGCCAGCCCATCCAATCAAAAGCCTACCATCCTTTCCCATCTAATCAAATGCCTACCATCCCTTGCACTGCAAGTTCTCTCGTGGACGACAACCCCGTCATAAATGCGATCCACTAGGGCAGACCTCTAATGAAGGATTTTACCTTCGTCAGCAGATTTTACGTCGAAATCCATCGGTCCAATTTTTTAAGCATTCATATTTCTCTATGGTGATATATTTACCTTTTTTAATATTTTTTAGTTCTTTTTAATGTTTTTCTATATAAAATATATATATTTTTTTTAATATAATTTTAAAAAAAAATGTATCCTTATTTATTTTTTTAACTTTAGGGGAGATCATTAGTCGGCGCAAGGGGCTTGTCGGTTCAGCTGATTTTATTTAAAAACCAGACATGTTTAGAAATTCAAATTTAATTATGTAATAGCATTGTATAATATGTATATTTTAGGCCAATAATATTTTACACCCCTCAGCTATTTAAAATGGATTTTTAGGTAAAAATCAAAATGTTTTTACACCACAATATTAGATGGCATTAAAATATGAAGAGTTTAAAAGATAATAAAATTGACATTATATGAAATTTAAAATCCTCTTTTCGCATCTGAGGAAGTTTCATAATCATTATATCATGTTTATATATATTTTTAAAATGTATCAATTATATTAGTAACTAGGGGCTAGTAGAATCAGGGCTAGTCGGATCAATCAAATTTTCTTTTTTTTAAGTTATAAAAAAAATATAATAATTTTGGTTATTGGCCAGGCAATTTTTTTTATATAGATTATATTATTTGATTTTAAACGGCACGAATTTGAAGCAGATTCCTATAGGATATTTTTTAAATAATCCGGGCCGTTTATTTTA